ATAATATAAATTTGTTGTCATTATGTTCCTGACATCGTCATTTTACCATCGACGTACGTCCATTGATTACTTCAGTACAATTTATGGTATCACGTAATAGTCATCTTTCGTGATTTTGAATATATAAAATCTACCAAATGATCATTCTCAAAACAATATTTCCTTGACATATCGATAATTTTAAAGTTCCACGCTAAATTCCCCTATACTTGACTGGAGTGATATCTGAATTTATTTTTCCCTACTGTCGATAGTTGCAGATCTGTTGGCTGTTGGTGTCAAACCCATAGAGCGGGTACCGATTTTTTGAAATCGTGAGCACATTATTCGTCGGATTTTCGATACTTAAATTTCCTGTAATCACTGGGATTAGAAGCTTCTTAGTAATATAACGTGTTTCACTGATTTCAACCCCCCTTTTTAAGCAGTACAATTTTTTTATGTCAATGATTAGGAACCCCTGAAACGTCAAAAATGGAGTTTCAGCAATTTTTACTTTTTCTTTTTTGCCTACAGCACCGTCGCCACTGGACTAAAACTACAAAGCTTTGGCAAACTAGTAACCGCGTGTGGAAATTTCATAAAAATCCGAGCGGTAATTTCCTAGTTGATGATGAGTGATACAGTTTTTCGTGATGTAGATGTCAAATGACTTAAAAAAACATATATAACATTTTAGCGATTACAAAACTTCCTCGCCAAAATCGAGGAGTATCAGCGATCGCGATTATGAGTACCTATTTGCAGAACGAGTTATCTATACGATATTATATGAAATAGGGCCACCAAATTATCTGAATACGTCCTTTCTTAGTCCGTACATTGCGCCGCAACGCTTGGTTTGGCAGCACGAAATAGTAGACAAAATTCGTCTAAACTACGATTTGTAGAGGTTTGCGCGCTTCGAAATTGACGCTTTATTTTTTGATATTTTTGGATGAAATTTTCACAGAGTGTTGAAAACAAAACCCCACAGGGTGCTATAGAGCCACTTTTTCACTAGGTTCTTTTTAAAAAAATCGCCAAGTTGAACAGAAAAAGTGCGCACTTCAACCCATCATAAAACTTGTGCAAAAACAAAATTTCAAAAAGTGCTCCTATAGCACCCTGGGCAATTATCTTCTCAACATACTGTATGAATTTCATTCAAAAATATTGAAAAATGGAGTGTCAGTTTTGAAGCGGCTGAACCCTTGTAAATGGCTTGAAACGTCGGAGCCGCCTTAAGCGATATTTGCAGTTCAAGCAGTGAATCTTATGAATCAAGTGATGGTAGTGTGGTTGATAGGAATTTTATACCATCAAATGATGACGAAAGTTCAGATACAAGTGAAGTATGTATTATTTTTGTTTTTGTGGCTAACAATGTTTTAACATATCAAAACTGTCGCGAATTTGAACGTGGCTTATCATGTTGTTGCTATTAAGAATATTTAATTTTAGGAAGGCGATTCACCTGTACCTACTAAAACTACACCCGAAAAAACTCCACAAACTTGTTGGAGGCAAAGAAGGGACGAGAACTGTGAACGGGTGAAAAGCAAAAGACGACGCAATTTAGGGCAAGGATATTCAACAGTAAAGCGCAGGAAACTCATTAAGCTTCGAGAATTGGGTTCACTATGTAGATGCCAGAAGAACTGCCGAGAGAAGCTCAGTAATAGCCGTGAAAATATCTTCACAAAATTCTGGGATCTAGGTTCCTATGATCTTCAGAACAGTTACCTTTTTGGTGCTATTCCAGTTCAAAAAAAGAAAAGATCTTACAAGAAAAAACAAAAACGTCAAGAATCTAGTTTACAGCTCAATATATTGTAAATGTTGGTGGTAGGGATGTCAGTGTATGTAAGATCGAATTTATGAGTGTCCATGGTCTACAAGATTGTCGAGGCAGAATCGACCGTATTGTCTAAATGAAGACAACCGGAGCTGTTGTCCCTATAAAAGACCGACATGGTAAACATGAAAACAGACACCAAAATATCAGAGCCACTATAGCAGAGCAAATAACACCAACAAAATGTATCCTCACTGCAATATGATCATAGCAAGCTTGTATAAGGATTATTATGTTCGGTGGTGTCAACAACAAAACATTATTCCAGTTAAACAACGTACTTACCGCAAAATATTTTGCACTGAATATAATTTCGGTTTCAAGCTGTCCAAGTCTGACACGTGTAAAATATGTGACGAGTCAAAGATCCAGCTTGATATTGCTAAATCAAACAACGATGACAAAGAGGAACAAAGGCTGACTACTTTTTTGAATTCACACAAAATTAGATCTAAAGCTATGCAAGATTTGCTGAAATTAGAGACTGAACGATCAGAAAATACAACAAACGTATATGTTATCAGTTTTGACTTGCAGCAGGCAATGCCTGTACCACATCATTTTCTTGTTACTGGAAATACCCACTTGCCGTCGGACCGTGACTTCGCGTTGATTGAAAAACGACATAGAAAATATGCTCCTGAAGTTTATTCTCCAGAAGGTTGGCACAAAATCATCAACGATGCTAACAACAAGAATCCTTTGAAGGTCACAGTTATGCAGCAAGAAGATTTCTTCGGTTTTGAACTACTGCTGGCCAACGTACAAAAGAGAGACTTCTCTGGTGTATATACCTTCCATTTTAAAACAAAAAATACAAAATCATTTTTTGTTGAGCGAAGTGAATATTACAAAAAAGGGTAGGCCTGTGAATACACGCTTATGTATGCTGAAAAATAAGTACATGGAACCAATAAAAATTTCAGAGAAGAAACTTAAAAATGTACAATCTCTTTTTCCGTATATACCCCCAATACATCTACCCTTCTTCAATGGACTAAAATCCAGAGAAAGTGACGAAGAAGATGTTGAAATCTTATAGCAGAAAAGTGCGGTAGAGTTTATTTCTCATTTTCTTATAAAAATGTGACTGTATATTTTTATAGGCAATAATATGACAAGCGACATTGTTTTTGTAAATAATTTTTTTTTGAGATACCAGTTTTTATTGTCACTCCTCTCCAACAGATTCAATGGAAACGGATTTATTAGCCTCAAAAAAAATCATTCAAGTTTAATTATGATAAACATTTTTTCAAAACTTAAAAGTCAAATAATAATAATTATAATAGACGTCTTTATTTATCCACAATTACATTGTAGTATAGCCAAATGTCAGACTTACATGGCGAAGTTTAGCATGATGCTATTCATACACTTAACCATATAGTCTCTAGCAGATGTTCAAAAGAATACACTATCCACAAACTGATTTGGTTCATTACATCCAAAGTAAAATTTAAAAAAAGAGAAAAAGGCATACTTTCCAAACCCAAATGCACCAAAAAATTATTAATCTGAATTAAAGATGGAATAAAAAAGAAATGAATGATTACTTAAATTATATGTTTGGAGGGTTGAGTAATAATGTTTTAACTTTTTGTCGAAAGACAGGTAATGGAAATTCTTTATATACTTTAGGAAGGTCGTTATAAATAATAGCAACATTGTAAGAAAAACTGCGTTTAAAAAGTGTAGACGTATGCAGGGGTATTCTAATATTATTTTCTCTGAGAGTTCTACAGTGAACATCATTATTATATGAAATTTTTTCCTTCAAGTAATAAGGTTTAGACGTGAGCAGCAACTTGTGAACAAAAACTGAATAGTGATACTTGACCATGTCATTAATTTTTAACCAGTTTAGAACGGGATATTTCGCTGATACATGATCAAATTTACGTAAGCCAAAAATGAATCGTATACAATTGTTTTGAATGACTTGAATAACGTTTTTAGTGAAATTGTCTAAACAAGTATAGTATACCTACGATAAAACAATAATTTAGTATAGATATGACCAATGCTTCACATAGTTTTTTACGCAACTTAAAATTTAGTATATACCTGTTTGCTATAAGAGTGCGCAGTCGTAGGTAGGTTTTCTGAGATAGACTTTTAATATGTTCAGTAAACCTTAATTTTGTATCAAAAACAACACCAAGAATTATTGCAGAATCAGAAAATTGCAAGATTTAGTTATTTATCTGAATGTTCAAGAGCTGTGTTACATTGTATGTTTTTCTTTGTGCGCAAAATAATAACATTTTAGATTTTTGTGGAATAATAAGTAGATTGTGATCTAAAGAGTATTTAATTAATTTATTAACATCGCTTTGTAAAATTTGAGTAGTATTATTGACATTATCTGGGTTAAAATAATGAAGCAATTGCGTATCGTCTGCAAATGACTGGACATGAGAATTATCAATACTTTTGCTTAAGTCGAACGTATATATGAGGAACAGAAGCGGCCCCAATACAGAGCCCTGAGGTACGCCTGAGGGAATTATTGTCACTTGAGACATTTCTTGATTGAGAAAAACACACTGAGTCCTTTGATGAAGGTAACTGTCGAAAAATGAAAGGGATACACTGTCAAGACCTATGTAATTTAATTTAGCAAGTAATAATTTATGATTGATGCTGTCAAAGGCTTTCGAATAGTCTATAGAGATTAAGGCTAGTAATAATAACTCCGAATTATGTTTTTGTGGCTTACCGCGTCATTACAATAAGCCCTTCAATTTTAGGCAAGATTTTTGAACGCGTCCTATCCGAGCCATATTCATTCTGTTCAAATAAAGGCTATACAAAACGTCGCAGTGGTTAAAATGGCTTTGTACGAAACTATCAGATACACACACACACACATACAAAAGAGGTGTTGAATACAACATACATGACCTTTGAACGTCAGTTTTGTATCTTTCTGAACTCCTAAACTTTCCTTCAGTTGATCAATAAGAATTTTCTCAAATATCTTCGATACTGTTTCGTATTAGACTCAACTCATCAAAGCTAGACGCATTGTCCTTTTTTGGCAATGGTAAAATTCGAGAAAACCTTCCACATGTGAGGAGGATGTGTTTTCCTATGCAGCAGTTAATTACGTGACACAAATATGAGCTATTATGATTAACCCTGTATATATTTTACTTACGTAGGTCCCTGATATAGCAAAAACGAGATGTGGCTCTTGTAGATGGATGGGTACTTATTCATGAAGAAACGTACAACATAATCTGCGGTTGTCAAATCAAGAACGTCTTCCCCTCGCTCCGGATTGCGGAATGTCTCTTCTGGATTCGGAAACATTGCCAAGAACTCGTCTATGTTGAAACCACTGGTGTATTTCTTCACTTGTGACTTTATCGAAGTACCTCTATAGTGAGAAAATAAATAAATGTCAACTGACAGTGAAGTAAGTAAACAATCTTTTGTTTCCAAAGGCAAATTTATATTATTTTGTGTTTGTTAAAATTGAATCCATTGAATTTTGTGCGAAAACTTGTAGGGCATAAGTTATGCGGAACATTTACACGCGATCGATGCCACTGTGGTTCAAAGGTCCTAAAATATGACCAAAGTTAGAAAGATCCACGTAGTTGTACAATAAATCTATTCTACGTTTTCCAGATCGCTGATAACGAATATGATACCCATTTGTCAAAGACTTTCTACTCTAGAAATATTGCCCTGTAGAAAAACAATAGCGTTAGAGTAAAGGTGCCGCTGTCACTGTAATACTCATGCCTAATTTCGACGGTGTATGAAGGAGCAATAGAAGTCACAACGTACGTACTTCTTATTGCTTAACATGCTTGATTAGACTTCAATATTTCACAGCATAGTTGTGACTGTGGCATACTTTCTGCATCAGTGATATGTTGTAGTCAAGTGAATCGGCATCAGGCCATCTTCTAGAAAATTATGTTTTTTTACATAGCATCCATGTCGTGTGATTTTTCAGAGCTTTGAAGTGCCACGGTTTTTTCTACACCAACTAGGTTCGCACCAAATATCTTTTCCACAACTTTGCCACGCTAAGAGTCTAATCTATTCTTTACGAGTCTGATTTGAACGTAATTCGTGCATTCTTTCACTCAAATTGAGCATACCTACTTACCGTTGTTGATGTACTCCTGAAGTTGAAGCTTGTTCTGTTTCAGGCATAAGTGCTCTTAATTCTTTAACTTCCGCTTTGCGCTGCTCATCGACCTCAATTGCTTAAAATTTCAAAGATTATAAATTTGGTTTCATCAACATTTTTCTAATATTGCCTAAATTTAAACTAAATATGTTTTGCGAGCTTAAAAGTTATCAATATTTTGCATTGAAACAAGCAATACATGATATAAATACGAGCAAAGTTCTTTTATGCACCCCTATTTAGTTTTCCAAGAATGTTTTAATTATTCAATTCCTTGTAAAGTGGGGTGAATAACATTCATTTCGCCTTTTATTAATATTGTTTATTGCTCTCTTTTCTACGAAATAATGAACTAGTATAACCTATAGGCTGGTGCACTCAGAGGAAATAAAAACTACCTCATTGCCAAATCAAGTTGAAGAAATTATTTTTTTTTTTTGGGTGTAGGACTTCTAATGTCACAGTATAACTTTTTGTTATTTAGATTCAGAAAATCACAAAAACTAAAAAATCTATTTTTTCTGTCGCCCATACATATGCAATAGGATGAAATTAGCTGCATTTTGAGTCACCTATCACGTCCCTGAGAGAATATGACGAACTACCAGTAATCTCGTATACCTTACCTGACAACTGTACGACCATCTGAACAGTGTCCCTACGGCAACTAGCCGCAACCTTCCGTATTACCCTGACACTTAATTTTGGAAAAGCATCAGTGAGTCTGGCTACTATATCCTCGAAATCTAGAAATAATAAGGACTTAGCTTTGGGGAAATGTAGGTAAAGGGCCTCCTAGGTTGTATTAGCAACCTCTCGGATTCAAGTAGGTAGAACAAAAAATGATACACACTTCTACCCTAATTGATATTCATTGTTAGCAAGGAAAACAACAATGACAAATCATTTATTTTTACTCTGAAACTGATAGATCTGAGCAATGATTGATATAAAAAGATGCCCAGCGATGTGGTGTATTTGGGCGTTCACTTACAATTGCCATCGGCCAAGTCATGTTGCCAGTGGAATCACAGTAATTTATTTATTTAATGAAAAATACACCAACTCAACAGGCAAATCTCTAATTACAGGGCAGGTAATAAACAATATGCAAAATAAATAATTTCATATGAAACTCGACGATTCACAGAAACTAAAACATGCGCATTGTTTACCATACTGCAAACAGTGACCTATTATAAACGGAGAAGCTCAAACGAAACATTTTCGTTAGAAAGACTTTACCCTACTAACAAAATGTGTCTCCTTAAATCTCTAATATCGGGTTCGCTGCTCACTGTCCTGCCGTGAATAATTCCACGGCAGCATTTGGAGCAAGTGACTGTATACATGCAGCCACCCTACTAACCGCACTATTCTCCAGCAATAATGGAGGACGTAGAAATTGTCGCGGCGACAGCGCTCTGTGTTTTGAGTTTGCAAAACTATAATAATGTTCCATTGCATCAAATGCAAACCAAATGGGCTGACACACCTCATCTGCACCCGCTCCAGACCTAATCCAAGCGTTTTTCTTTTTTAATAGAGGCCGAAATGTTGCCATTAGCATTTTTTTCGACTTCACCTCTTGTATTGGGATGTTTTTTAATCCTTCGCTTATCCGTGTTCACGCATCATGTACTTTATGTTTTTTTTTGTGATCATTATGTGAAGCATCCCATAATAATCATTCAGCCACATATAGCTCTAAAAAATTCAATACTTGATCACAGCTCCACTCAATCATGGTTCAAGTGTATTTTAAAACGAATAATTTGCCAAAAAAGGAATAAAGTAGGTTAAGATATCACGCGTCCACGTGGTAAGGACAGGACTGACTGTTGGTACAGCGGGCAGCATTGATTCCCAAAGTGGTCTATATCGACCCCTAGGGGTCTATGACAACGTGCAAGGGGTCTACGTCAGCGAAAAAAAATTTGGGGGTCCATGAAATGAATATGGGGGTCCACGATAGTGGATCTCAACACATACACTGATAGTAGCTATTTACTTACATCATACTATCTTATAATATCAAAACATATACATTATTTATAAAAGTACCTATGAAGCAAAAAATTTATTATACATATATATGTTTACAAAATTGTGTAAGTTGTAGGATGTTGGTATTCGCTTTGTGGTCGCAATACATTCTGAACTTGTAAAAACCTGAGAGTCTCAGAGCTTCGCTACCTTGCATTGACTTGTTCAATTCGTCACTCTATAAATACGAATGTGGGACAAATACGTTTATTCGTTTTCTGAATCTTGAAAAGGAAAGTGCTAAGACAATATTTTAAAAAATATAAACAGATAGTATATCACACAAATTATAGTGAGTCAGTGTTATTTTGTTTGAGAGTGCTGGAGAAAAGTAAGTACATTATTTTTTATTAACCCAGATGGGCCCAATGGTCTATATGTAGTACATCTCAAACTTGTCAATTTTTGTCAAAAGGGGTCTGTAAAAATCTATTCATTCATTCGTTTCATTTAGCATAACGTTGTTCGGCTTAGGGTACGGTTGTTAGTCGTCATTTTCTGACGGACTATTAGTGTACTTTGAAGTCCAGGTACTACATTTCGACGATATGGCTGAATACAGCATCAGATATGCAAGGTAAGCTGTTTTGATGATTTGCGTTTTTTTTTTTTTTTTTTATATATCGAAACAGCCGCGCAGGCAGAAGCCTAAATGCCGGAACACCGCGGCTGCTATGATGATCCCAAAGAAATTTTGTTAATACGATTTTTGAACTAAGGTTAGTAGAACTGGGAAAAGCTTCCTCCCGTAGATTGTTCCACAATCTAGACACCCTCGGGACAAAGGAGCGGTCGTATCGGCCGGTTCTGGATGTACAAAGTTTGACACGGTTAGGATGGGACGCCGAAGTCAGGCGAGTCTGTCTGGCAGGCACATCGCGCGGCGGCATCATGGAAGAGAGCTCTGAGGAGCAAAGCCCGTTGGTGTAGCGATAGAAAAGAGCTAGATCGCCGACGGCCCGCCGGTGCGAAAGAGTCCCGAGACTGTCTGTTAGAGAAGTGGATTCCATATAATGGAGCAAATTGCTACATATAAAGTCGACAGAAGGAATATATGCTTGAGGCAATGACTAATATTGCATAGCTTTTTCGCAGCTTAGGAAAAAATCTATCTGTCCTATATAAAGTACATTGGGCAAATATACTACTGCCACTTTTTGTAAATTACCCTCAGTTTTTAGGGGTATATGCATCTATAAAATAATTGTTTATAAATATATTTTGTGACAGAGGGTTTTCATTACATGAAGCCCTGGCTATGATCGAAGATGACAAAGTGCAAGCCGATACCATCACACTGTTTTCACCAACAATGCTTCCAAAAATCTGGCAGATGAAAATTCGGCGAAGAAGACAATGTTTATATAAATAACTTGCCGCCATCTCAAATGCAGAGTAAATTATAAATGTGATACGGACTCGGAAGACGATATACCCTTGAGTCAATTGACAGAAGCAATCAAAGGAACATGCAAGCAGGCAAAGAAGGAGAAACGTTATAAGTATTTGAAAGAGCATTTAGATTGTTAGTGCTGCTTTTGACAATCCTTATCATTTTATTTGCTTGGTTTTTGGGTAGTTTTAGGTCGGCGTAAAATATTTTTACTTGACGTTTCGCCAAGACGAGTGGTTGACATCTTCTCTAGGTAGAGCAGCCACATGTGGTCCAATTATATAATAGGAACATGGGAGGTGTTGACCTTTGTGACCAAAATATAATTATAACTCACTGCATAGATAAGGCAGTGCAGAATTCCTGGCAAATTCATAAAAAATAAGGCGGAACAATGGACCACTTAACTTTTAGAAGAGCGATTGCAAATTTTATGCTGGTTAAAAATAAAAAAGAATGTGTGTATCAGATAAGACACACGTCTCAATTCCAAAATTTGGAGTTATGATATTACCGTCTGGACCAGCTTGTCATCAGAAAACACGACTCGCTGTCAAAAATGTGACATGTTAAGTGTTTTTGATGTATCATACTAAGCCCAAATGATTTTAATGCAGCATAGTAAGTGCCCATTGTCCTATATATAGGACGCCTTCAAAAACAACTTTTTTGACAAAAAATCAGTTTTAGAAGTTTTAGTTGGGTTCTTGTATACTATTAATGCCCCTTAAATGGAAAACTATGAAGAAGTCAGGGTCATGATAACTTTGGGCATATCTGGGTTAAATTTTAGTTTTGTACTCGTAGTTAGCAAAGATAGATAAATTACGCCAATCATGACTTTAGTTATTAGTAGTTAAACATTCAATCATGCAAAATTACACGAGTACTCCTCAATAGTTTCGTTTTGAAAGTTTTAGCAATCGGTAATATAATTACAGTGCAATATCCGTAATTCAAGCTAATTGTTGCAAGAAGACGTTCGAATTATGGAATGTTTTCGAAAAAATCAAAAAATATTTTTAATATACAGCTGCTGGATTTTTTGTCTTATTTAAATAATTTAATTTTGCCCACAGATGACTGATGCCATGTCTTAATCTAAAAAGAAATGTAGACAGTACAGTGTTGATTATTTGAAATTTGGCTTCATGCCATCATTGCCGGACAAACAATCGCCTATGTGCTTTTTATGCAACAAAGTTTTGGGCAATGACGCTATGAAACCATCTAAACTGCAAGATCATCTGAGAAGATGCCACCCTGATAAAACAGAGAAAGATTTGAAATACTTTCAAACACTCAAAGATAAATTTCAGAAGAGACCTACACTGGACAAAATGTTCGCTTCGACGTCACAAAGAAATGATGATGGTTTGCGGGCGTCTTACAATATCTCGTTACTTATAGCAAAATCCGGAAAACCGCATCAACTTTACCTGATAATGCAGCATTATTATTGGCATATGTTCGTTTTATTATGAATCAAGAAATCTACGAAGAACTGCTCTTCGCAAGAACTTTGATAACCGACACTAAAGGTGAATCAATATTTCATATTTTGAAGGATTACTTCATTGAAAAAGCAATTCCTTTATCAAATATAATATCAGTAGCTACAGATGGAGCACCTGCCATGGTTGGACGTTATCGTGGATTTATAAGCTATTTAAAACAAAATATGTCAGGGGTGTTAGCAATACATTGCGTCATCCATCGAAAACATTTAGTTGCTAAAAATTTGAGTGTTAGATTGCATGAATCACTTCATTTAGTCATTGATGCAGTAAACCGAATCCGAAGCAACGCGTTGAATACGCGGTTATTTGCGCAGTTGTGTGAAGAAAATGACGAACACGACTATTTTAGAATATCTGGATACTAAAGATAAAATTTTAAAAGAAAATTTAATGAAGAGGAAAACAGACATCGCCTATTTAACAAATTTGTTTACAAAATTTAATATGGTTAATTTGCAATTACAAGGCGACAGTTTAAATTTGATTAAAACAAAGTCCATCTTATCAGCGTTTCTTGCCAGAGTTAAACTAATGAAGCAAAATATTGGACGGGGCGAATTTTCTCAGTTCCCCAATTTGTCACAGACAAGCTGCCAGGAAGACGACGTTTCAACTTACGTTCAACAATTAAATGCCCTCTATTCAGATTTTGAATCTAGGTTTGAGGATATTTTGACTATGGTAATACCACCGTGGATAATTAATCCATATGGTGACATAGAAGAAACGAATGTCATAATACAAGAGGAACTGACTGAACTAAGTACAAACGAAGAACTTAAGGTTCAGTTTAAAAACGGATATCAGCAATTCTGGCTGCAAAACAACATACCCGTTACTTATCCCGTATTATGGAATATAGCGAGGAAATTTTTAATTTCCCTTCCATCGTCATACCTAGTGGAAAGGGGGTTCAGCGCTGTTACCAATCTCCTAACGAAAAAAAGAAACAGACTGGACATCATTAGCCGAGGAGATTTAAGATTAACCCTTACAAAATTGACGCTAAATGTTGATAATTTATTATTAAAGCATCAGGTTCATCCTTCTCACTGAAAATATTGACTTATTGCTTATGTTATTTTATTTATAGTTTATTTTATGTTTATTGGTGTCTGACCAATAAATGCTCGCATTGGGAATAAGTACACGCATTGATTTTTTTAAAGAACCCCCCTTTATAGAAAATATTTTTTTTAAAAAATTATTCTGAAAATTCGGGGATAGGTACACACTAAAATTCGTTAATTTTTTGCCTATTTTTAGGTAGCTTAAACGTATAAGAAGCGGAATTTAATCAAACTAACATTGAAATTATTGTAGAACATACGCTTATGTTATAATTAATAAACGAACTCGCTTATTGTACTATTTTAAGTAAAAAACTTTTTTTTATTATTTTTCACTTTTTTTATTTTATCCCTCTTATTTTTTTTTCAATGCGGGCACTTATTCCCAATGCGGGCACTTATTGGTCAGACAACTGTTTATTTAATGTTACGTATATTTTACATAACAGATACAAAATTTTATTTTGAGTAGTTTTAATTTAAATTCAATTAATAAATGTATAAATTAACATGTGTTTTTACTTTGAGTTTTTAACACTAAACTTCACTACAGTTAGAAATTTACAGGAAATCAATATCAGGTAAGTAGGGGGTCTACCCAACACGGAAAAACATGGCAAGGGATCTACGACACAAAAAAGTTTGGGGAACTCTGATGTAGACGGTCGCCGTCGCTCTTGCTGCTGGTGCTTTGACTTCCTTCCAAAAAACCGCGAACTAAGGGAGCATGCGGCAGCGGCAGCGGCATGAGCACTGGCAATGCGAGCTGCGTATTTACATACTCGCACTGCCCACTTCCCTGCCCAATTCCCTGCTCACTGCCGTGGAAGTGGGCTGCATGTAAACCCGGTATATGATATATTGTGAGCAAAATACATATACAAGCAATGACAGTAAATTGATACGAGGGAAGGGAAGAGAGAAAAGGTAGTTGATAAATCGAGTTCGCAAAGTACCAAGCGCAAAAGACATTTACTTTGGAAAATTCATACAATGATAAATTATGTTGTGCTGATCAAATAGTCCAATGGGCGCAAAGTCCAGAAATGCTATCTGTTGGAGACACAGGATATTAAAGTTTGGTGCCTTAGGGCCGTATCGTCAGTCGTTCCTATAATTGTACGACCTGCTTGCATAGTTCTTCCTGTTCTTCAGAAAAGCTGGGGTATTTCTAGGTATACGTTGTATCAGCATTCTATTTTAAGGTTATATTTTCTTTATGAATTCTAAGAAATTTCAGGCTCATACAACTTGATTTTATCATCTGTCTTATTAGCCGGAAATTTTTCAATATTCGAAAAGAAAACATAACCTCATAATATAGACTATCGACGAACTATACGGCCCTTAGCCGCTGTGGGCGAACTGTGGATGAGCCAGCACCATTTTACAAAAACTAACTCGTCTTTATTATGTTCAGGGAGCTTAATAGAAACTATTTGAACACTTCCAATATATACAGGGTGCCCCAAAGGAGATGGAAGGCTCTTTAATAGAAGAGCTATCAGACATTCGAAAATGGTTTGCGCAAAAAGATTGAGATGTTATTGGCGTGTATTTCTAACTGATTTGAAAATATACAGGATGTTGCGTAATTCCGCGTGCCACAGCAAACATGTTTTTTAACGGAACACCCTATATTATATTGAAAGACATTCCGAAAACGAGAAGATTGATATAATATACTTTGATCGTCATTTGTTTAGTTATTTTATCATTTTTCTGAAAAAATGCCTATTCTTGGAGGCTTTGACTTCTGCCATTTTGCTTAGTATTTCACTGAATTTCGGGAAGAGAAGAGAAATACTAAATGGAACATTCCGTATATTTTTACACCACCAGGTTCACGTCTTTATAAGTTTTTCCTGGTATCAGGCTTAATACTACTTTATAAGAATGGTTATCTGAATATACATAATAAAAGATAAAGTGTTTCATTAAAAAGCATGTTCGTACTAACTTGTATATCTCCAAATAATTAAAAAATAGATACCTATAAGATATAAATTATTGTTACATTAGCAACAAGTGCCAAAACCTGCACTTTGCCTCGGTTTTCGGTCATAACTTTTCTAATATTAGTGGCATCTTTTTACATGTGGCCCCAATCTATAGGGCTCAGGGATACATAAAAATCTTATTTGGAGAGCTTTTTCGTTCCTGCCAACACTATTTCGGGAAAATTTGCTAATGTGATTAGACTAAGACTGGTTCCACTTAACTTGACGAACGTTACCTGCTTCGAGGGCTGACCCGGTATTGTCGATGATGGGTGGAGGTGGATGGAAAATGTACTGGTTGTAGTTACCTAAATGCAAAAATGTACTCCATTTAACCGACTTCGTATCTGTTTCCGTTACCGAGACCCCACTGTCGACATTCGAATTTCAAATAACCGGTAAAGGCTACGTTAAACATAATCTCACATGGATCCGAGAGATTAATCATACATTATGAAACTGTTTTGTCTATCTGCAAACTTACCTGCAACATGCTCATCGTGGTTCGCAACTGCTTCAGCCATCTTAAAAACGCTGAAAAGGATATTTTTGCAATTAATGTTTTTTATGATCTTCTCAAAGCTACTTAGATAAAACATAATATGAATGCATCCTAAAGGTGCTCGAGAAAGACACCGCTGCGACCTTATGGAGAATGACTTTCAGTGAATTTGTTATTTAGAGGTAAAAAATTAGGGCTTGTGGAGGGGTGGGGAGGGTATATTTCAATTTTTTAATGTTAGTATATTTATACGCTCCGAACCTTGGCGCACTTATTAGATACATTTCACACATATATTTCTCCGTACATTAGCCCTTAATGGCCTATTCAGACTCAGCCGGGACGTGTCAGTGCTGTGACCGGCACGTGATCCGCCAGGCGAAACTAAAAACATTCTTCCTGGAATTTGGATGAACTGATTCACACTAGACCGGCACGTGGAAGTGACCGTGTTCTCAGTGCCCTCGACGACGCCGTACCGTGATCATCGCATTGTTTTGGAACAATATTTTTCGATTTTCACGGTCGCGTTTTTATGTAATTTCGTGAATATTTTGATATAGTTGTTGATGAAAAACTAATTGAATTTGTACGCGTACATCCCGTGCTGTAAAACCAATCAAATTCAAATTCCTCGTACTTCCGTTTTCTTCTCGTTTCTTCTTCTTCATCTTTCGTAGGTGGTAGACGGTCTTTGAATGTCGAGCGCGGAGGTAGCACCCGGTGGATCTCGTAGGCGGGGCCAGAATGTGTGCATATTGCATGTACACGTGTTGCCTCGCCAGAGTCCGTGTGGCGTCCCCCCTTTCCCCTGTGGTTCCTCCTATATCACTACGGTACCCCATGGGTGTTTAGGCCTAAGGCCTTCGTGGTAGTCAGAGTATAAAAAAAATCCAGAATTAATGCAATAATTGCAAGTTAATGCTCTGAAAATTTTGCCATCTCGACCTCACGTGAACACATCTGCACTGCCAGAGCACGGAGAAAAATGCTGACCGATGTGAATTGAAAACACTGTGAGCTCACGTCAGTGAGAATCACTGGCACGTCACGGCTGAGTGTGAATAGACCTTAAGTCTTATAAAAATACTCTCAGCAGACGGATCTCGTACTCACAGGCCGCGTTTGCCCCTGCTCCAGACGTTGCCTGATGAACTACCGGTAAGGCCGAGAAATAATGATTATGGACTAATAGTATGAACCTGTTTAACTGACTTGTTAATACGCTTTATAAGCTTTTCCTGTATGCATATATGTATGTATGGGTGTGTATATGAATGTATGTATGTGTAACGGAATCTTTGAGCATAATTTTCACCTATTTCCTGAAGTTTGATTTACTTGACTTATCAAGGACCGATGACAATGTAATAACGATTTTCCATTATACTTATTAGGACCGCCAGTATTGATAAATTCTTTTATATATCCTCTGTAGAGGAGTAAAACGGACAGAGCTAGCACGCGATCTGCGCATTCGTGCAGTTTTCGGTTTGTTGGTTCGAAAACCCGGCACACCACAACGGAGGCAGATACTTTTTCAAGATAGTACAATCTCACCTTGTTCATTCCTTATACATGCGCAGGATGAATGAGTCTAATACACGCGAATTACGTGTGAATATGACTAAACGGATATCGATACAGCTATGGAACTGCTGAGAGACGAATGTTGTCATTTATCCTGGGTAGGGCTTCAACTGTCCACAAGATGTTTACTGTTGGACAAGCTTATGTAGCACTGAGTCGTGTAAGATCTTTAGACGGTATTCGGATTGAAGAGTTTGATTGCTCTAAGTTAACAAGAAAAACATCACGCAACAGTAAAGCTTTAAATGAAATGATTAGATTACGAAATGATTCGTAAGACATTTCAATATCATATGTTCACAAAACACTAATAATTGATAAATCGCACTAAAAAATGAAAAATAAATAACAGTTTAAAAAAACTAACGCTCCGAACTAAAAAGTAGAAAATAATTTTTGATGATCTCAAAAAAAAATTATAATAAAATTTAAGTTATTAACAGAATAATTAAATTCAGAGGAAAAAGCGTGGGGTGCTTGATATATTAAGTGTTACAATCATTCTATTGGCAACTAGCTATGAGAGAAATTATTATCTACTTTTTAGTTTGTGCTGACCATAATCCTTCATGAACTGATAACGGCATTGCGTGTGAAGTGCAGAGTCAACTTATTTGACGCCAGTTTTTTAATTTACCAAATTTGCTGACCATAATCCTTCATGAACTGATAACGGCATTGCGTGTGAAGTGCAGAGTCAACTTATTTGACGCCAGTTTTTTAATTTACCAAATTGTACGCTTCAATACGTAGATTTCCAATTTCCAAGATATAGTCCATACCCTATTACAGCGAGTTGTGGGCTTAGAACACGATGAGTAACAGTTGTTTGATATTTCCTTCCTTATCATCATACCTACTGACCGGTGCAGAAACCTTGAAATTCAGCTACATATATGCTCAGGGAAGAATAAACTCGCGCGGATGTAATATTGCGCTGGGACACAAACACATACATTTTTTCGAAAAGATTCAAGGTTATCCAAGGTATTCGACTAGACAACAACGTTGCTTTTTTGATACATACCTATAATTTTTGACATATTTGGATAGATTCGTATATTATTGAGTTTTGTCGAGTAGCTATTGAAATAATAATTATGGATTTTGTCTAAAGAATCAAGTATCTCAAACAGCGCCCTGACACCTTCAATAGATAAAGTAATGAGTTTTCTCTTATACAGGGTGCTTCAGAAAGGCGTGTCAATATTTCAAGGGTAAAAAGTTAATCTAAAAATAACAAAAAACGTTCCTATAACTATGGGTCCAAAGATGCTTTCCTACCGAGATACAGTATGATGAAGTTTTATTTACGAAATTTAAAAAAGTATGTATTCGGAGCGGGTAAATATACTGAGTTAGCCTTTCAGCTAGCACATGATCAGCAATAAATACACAGTTTCCCGGCCCAACCTAAACCAGAGACGTCTAAGCTGGAGTATCTTAACACCTAGTGGGGAATATTTTCTACGCCTTTGGCCTTTCTGGAGAACAGAAGTGGAATTTAAAAAATAACATTCAATTTTCTATAAATTTTGTCTTTTAAGGAATTTTTGTTAGATTACTCGTTTTGGAGATAATTAAGACTGAATATTTGCAGCTATTCTATTGGAGTTAAAATCTGGGGAATATCTGTAAATGTAGTAAAATATGTTTTGTTGAAATTGACTGTGAAAATATTTTCCGTAAAAAAAATTAAAAATCTATTATAATTTTGTTTTTTAAAAAAGCTATATCTTTGTCTGAATAAATAATTCCTCCGTCGTTTTTTAACTCAAAAAGCTGCCAAACTTTCACTTAGTGCACTGTTAACGTTCACACATTATTTTTATGAGTTGCCAAGTGTCTCCACAAAATCCTAAATTTTTCAAGGTGTTTGATAACTTTTGATGCGTAATGCTATCCAATGCTTTGATCAAGTCTACAAGAAGGCATGCTGTTGGTTTATTACTACCAACGTATTTGTAAATTTCGGTTGTTAAGTGAAGAAGTACATCCTGAGTTGTCTTTACTTCCTGGAGTCCGTGTTGCTGTTGAGATATCAGGTTGTACTTTGCAATAACATTAAAATCGTTTTTTTAATAATGTTTTCGAACATTTTTGAAAAGTTTTTCAATATCTACTGAAATTGGGCGATAATTACAAGATTTCTGTTTATCTCCAGATTCAAATGCAGGTCTTATTATTGCCTTTTTATTACAACTACTCGTTAGAAAAACCTTGAGCCCATGGCCACAGGTCGAAAGCCCTAAAAGGTCCCTGCAGCGTCTTTCCAGTAAGTGAATTCATTAATTCTTTGCAAATGACCAAAATAAGAAGTCTGGCGATTCCTAAACGTGTTTTCGACTTTGTATTGTCTATCTAGGCTCGAGCCGGGTTTTATCGAATTTTTGTTACTAAGAGGCAAATTTTAAAAACTGTTGAAACATACTTTGTGTGGCCTTAAGAAACAATTAAGGTACGGAGGATCTCGACATTCTATACACTTTTTCTGGCATTAGTGTGGTAGGTTTAAGTGTTTAACTGTACCGTAAATGTCCGAAAAAATATGCACTACATATAAGCGTTTCCAGGCGTAGCAGCTGTATTTTTGTTATAGCATTTCCTTCCATGAATAGCGGCGCAGCAAGTGCATTTGAGGTTTTGCGAGACTGTGGAGTTTTAACTGATTTTCATTATATACATCAATAGTATACATTTATTTCATTGAAATCATTTGTATTTACCACATAATAAGGACATTAGTGTGTTTCATTTACATTTTACCTATAAAATGGCGCCTACTAGGTAACTCAAAACCCTGGCTGCTTTAATCGAAACATGAACATAACTGTTAAAAAGTCAACATTTACGAATTTCTTAATCATCCGTACTCTATTCATTTTTGAGTACACTACAAAGTATGTTCCAATAACTTTTTTAATTTTTCTCGCAATAATAAGAATTCGAGAAAACCCTCTAAATATTTTTTGAGATGATAGTAACAAATTCCTTTTCAAACTTAATAATCACTTTTATCACCTTACGCTTGATTAAGTAGGAAAAAATATACAATCTAGAAGTACAAGTCAGGAATAATTTTGAAATTGATTAGATAACATTTTCTGGAAAATGTTTTTCTTACCTTATCCGTACACGTACACACTGTTAAAATATCATGTGACACAGCCTTACTTTTACTTATATTCTACTTACCATCTTCAAAAAATTATTCCGCTTCTCTGGCATTGGCGTAGTCATAAAATGTGCAAAACATCAGAAACCATAGGGTTGCAGATATCATAGTTATTTAGGGGTATTTTTTGAAAATTTTACTTTTTTTTAAAACTTCACCACCTTGAGCGTATTTTCCTAGCGGCACCAATTCAGCTGATAGATTCATAAGTTATTAAGACCACCCTCTGTTCAAAACAATGGACGATCTGACAAAACATTCTTGATTTGAATTTACTCAAAAAACATATATGTATAACATATGCTTCAAAAAGACAGTAAGCTGTAATGAAGTTTCCTTATGTTTACAGTGATCGCTCTTGATACTCTCCCTCTACATAATGTTAAAATCAGACGTAAGAAGGGATTTTAATAAAAAATTAGACTTTGGCATTACTTGTGGGTGTTTCGCCACCTCAAGAAAAAATAATAATAGTCGAAATAAAATACTAAATTCTAAGTGCTTTAACCTGGTTGGAAAAAGTAGATATTTGTAGAAATTGCACGGGATAAACTGAATATGGGCCAGTTTGAAGAAAATGAAAGCTGAAAATCTTGGCTCGATAATAAAACCCAAACCCCCAAAATAAAAAATTTAACGGACTTAAATGCCACGGTCTAGACAACTTGTGGTTTTTAATAATCTTTTTTTATACTTTTAAGTTAAACTTTCGTTAGGTTTACAAACTTTAATAAAATCAGCAAAAGGTTAGAACAGGTATTACGATCACGAAGAATGATTGTTGCCCTGTATCTTCGAAACGAAGCTCTTTACCAGATCTATGCTTATGTAGGGAGATCCAAAAGACCCAGAATGGCAAAGGGCAAAGAATCTATGAGCCAACGCTGAAAACTTAGCTACACTAAGCTTAGCTACATTTGGTAGACTTGGAACCAACACCTGTTAGATACTCGGCTTGTATCATTATTAGTTTTCTTGAATACTACATAGAATAATGATTTCCAGGAAAAGGGAAACGATTTTTTATCTGTCACGTTGGCTATGAAGATGGCTTTGTGCCCACTGTCTTATGGGCATTTGAGTCAAAGAAAACAACAGACTACCATAAATAAATGGACAGGTGTTTATTAGAACGATGGTTTGAAGAAACGCTCCCAAAGTTTGACGACAATACCATCATTGTACTTGATAACCACACTAGAAAACTAGAAACAATTCCCACAATGTCCACAAGAAAGACAGAAATTCAACAATGACTTCTATCAAACGACATTAGTTTCAATGAAATTATGGTCAAAGCAGAACTTATCCATCTACTCAGGCAGCACAAATATAAATATAATCTCAAGGTTATTGACGAAATGGCTAAAAACCAAAATAAGACCGTTTTAAGGCTACCCCTTATCACTGCGAATTAAGTCCCATTGAAATGATTTTGGTAAATACACCTATAAAAAACTGTGTGGTTTCAAACAATAGAACATTCAAATTTTCTGACGTGAAAAATTTGTTTTATGAAGCTGTCAACAGAGTGACGGCAAACCATTTTAAAGATCGCATTCCTCACATTCAAGGGACAATCGAAGATGCGGGATCTGGACAACATCATCGATATTCAAATTGAATCTGTAATAATTAATATTAACCATTCGGATGATGATTCAAGTACTTCCAGCGAATAGAGAATTGTGAGAAGTATGTGCACTTCTTTCTATAAAAATAATAATTTATTTTGTTAGATTATTCCAAGACGATTGAGGAAAATACGGACCTGTACAATCTCGCTTTTGGGCATGTTGTGACCATGGTACGCCCAAGACGATTCCAACATGGTTCCAACGAACCTAAACAATATTCGTAGTTTTTGTCGCATTCCATTCACTGTTTTTGCGCGCCGGATGATGTAGGTGTTACAAAGGAGATGTACGAATATTAAGACTAACTTGGCATTTCTTGGTATAATTTTTAGAAACAAATTAACTAAATAGATCATGAGCATACTTGTTAGTTTTGGGACATGCCGTTACTTCTATAAATGAGACTTGTTCAAGGGCGTATCTCCCTTTTCCCTAACTCGGTAAAAATTTAATGGAGCGAACATTTTTTACAAAAATTATATTACTCAATCAGCTGAATCAATATTCGATGAGAAATTACTAAGTTAGGTGTCTTTCAAGTTCGAACCTTCGCCTTTGGGTTCTCGGTATTTACTTTGGTGTCGTACCCTCAGTGGATTTCTACATAACATTAGGAATCAATAATTAATTACTGACATCCAGGCTACACGGTCAATAAATATCACATCTCATGATAAGTATATTGACGGATCACAGTAAATACTGATCTTCTGATTTACCTAAATGACGGGGAGTTCCTTTGGGGAAGTGGGGTAGCAACATAAAAAATGGAACGTGGACAGTGGAGTATTTCCGAATTTAGACTATGTCGATTTTATTATTTACTGACTTTAGACCGGAACAAACCTTTTCAAACGTCCACATTGTCTACATATTTCAAACAAATTACACAGTATCAATCACACTAACTTTTTCTCTTCTACACGGTGGCATAATTAGTATTTTGATCTGCCGTTCCAGCTCTCAGTTTTTTGAAATTATACCGTTTTTGATGTCTTCATTATTACCCTTAAATCATATAAATGAGTTACGTGACGTTGTTCCTCGTTCCAGTTTGAACCAACTATATGAAGCTATAGGCACTTGAAGTTTTATATCAAAGCGTACCACGTTATCATCTTTGATTCTATGAAATAAATGACTATATGATAATTTCAAGGCTTGCTCAATAAATTTTTTTATTATAATTTATGACATGCTATATTTGAAATCAGAACTTAAAGCTCTCCGTCTATGCAAAAGTGGCATACATAAGAAACATCAAAGTTGAAACGCGGAATAAAAGACGAAAAGTCATATTAATGTTCTATATGCCTCCTTGCAGATGCAGAGATCAAAAAGTGGCAATGTCAATGTGCAGTTTATTTTGACATCATATCTCAAATAAATTCAGAAAAATTAGAAACGATTTTGGGAAAATTCGTTTCCCTCTCCGTGTATGTCTGGAGATACTGGATGCTTATCTTTGGTGCCCACTCCGTCATGCATGCCCTACCCATCGCCCGTGCACAGTCGATTCCAAGGATTCCTTTCACTATCTGGGAAGTAACCCACGTGCATAAGACCGTAGGGCGGCTGCTCTTGTCGCTCAACAGCAACCGGTTTTGGGCAATCTCGGCATTTTACAGAACCTTTCACGCTATTCCAGTAACACACTGTTTATGATTATGAAAATGGAAAAGCAAGATGAGATTAAGATGATACATTAACCAAAAACTAGTGCCACGACTTAACTTGTGTTTGAATCTTTATGGTGACTATGTTAAAAAATGAAAGAATGTTCATATTTTAGTTTGCGATACAGTTCATATTCTTATTTAATTCTTACTTAACAAATACCCTCGTATAAACCGTTACTTCAATATGCTACTTTTCTTTTGAGTTAATAACTGTGGCATGCTGGCGGGTTATAGATTTTCGATTGTACAAATGAACCCAGAATTGTAGAACGACTTGAACCCAGGTAGTCAGGGTGGGAGAAGTGGTGTCTCAGGAAAGGGAACTCTCCATCGGAGTACCTACCACAGGGGTCAGTATTGGTTCCTATTTTACATTAATGACTTGCCTTTGGCAAGCATAGATGCTGCTTTCACCCTTTTTGCAGACGACACCAATCTCTCCCTTACTGCAGGTTCTTTGGATGGATCCATTTTGGGAATGTAAGCCGTACAGTCGGATATTAAGATTTGGTGCGAAGCTACTGGACTTCTACTGAATCAAAGAAAAACCCAACAGTTGGTGTTCTCACAGCGAAACCTAGGCGACGTAAATATGAATACATCATATGCAAAATTCCGGAGGAGTACGTCCACCCGTATCTTAATGTTCACATAAACCATGTGGCGAAAAAACTTGGGTCTGCACTGTACGCGTTACGACGCCTAGAGGAATGCGTGAGTACATCGATGTTGAAAACCGCTTATTATGCATTATTTCATTCCATCATGTCATACGCTTTACTAATCTGGGAATGTGCGGCGCAATCACATCGTGTATCTGGCATTCGGAGGAAGGCCTTCCCGATAATTAAGGGATTTGATCTTAGGGCTGTTTATAGATAGGCTTCTAGAGACCTAGAGATTTTAACGTTGCCCTCCCAATACATCATCAACTGCCTTCTCCACAAAAAGAATAACTTCACTATGTTCAGAATTCACAGTGACGTTCACGAACACGATACCAGGTTCAAAAGTAATCTAATGCCAGAGTAATTACGTCTAACGAGGTGTCAGACGTCTCCAGAGTACCAGGGCATACAATTTTTTAATCATCTGCCTGTCAACAAATCTAAAGAAAATCTAAAAAGCATCTTAATGTCTGGTGCTTTCTATAGTACGTATGAATCTCTCTGGTATACATTTTAAAACTTGTCATTTTGTTGAAGAATGTATAGGCTTTCACGGCTAATTTTAACGTCATTTAGGTTTTTCGGGCTAGTGAGCCGTGTCGCATCAAAATTGAAGAAATAATTCCAATGAAAATGGAAACAAAATATTAAATTAAATATTCGAACACACCTTCTTCTTGGGTTTGACAGTAAGCTAACTTATTGTAGCATTCTGTAAGAACATTTTCTGCTGTAACATATTGGCAACGCGGCATATTGCATGACCTTCTACGTGACTGTTGCTAGGCAATATAGTGATGACCTTTGCTCTTCAGTCAGCTTTTATATCTTTCTAACATGTGTTCATACACACTTCTCGCCCTTCTCTCTCGTACACATTGAACTCAAGCAGTCAGACAAATGTGGTTATCCCTGTATAATCTTAGCTTGATTTGGATGAGTCACTGATCACGCTCCATGCTACACGATTACACTCATCAGGAAATAAACATCATTAATTCAACTCAAATCAACTTTATTTTCATGCATAAAATGTATTCCACCTAAATGGAGATATGCCAGCAAAAACAATTCACAAAAAGAACTTCCTTCTACTTGTCTCCATTTTATGCCGTCTTCCATCTATGATCCATTCATACTGCCCATATTTGCTGTCAAAGGTGCCTTTCTGCAAAGATTTCAATCGCAACGTAAATCTCGGCCCGAGCTCCTTCAATCTTGCTCTCTTGCCATCAGCGTCGAAACCGTACCTAAAAAGGGAATTGCCTTTATTGTACTTACTAATACCCTTGGCGAAAAGTCGGAGCTATAAAGGGGGGACCACAGCCGGCCAACCATGAACAGCTGTTTCGTGCTTTTTGGAAACACCTCAGCATGGTCTATGCATGGTCTCAGGTAGAACAATGAACAAAAGCTAAGCAACTATCCTGTGAACGAACGGACTAAAGCTATATTACTAGTTTCTTCAATGGTGAGTAGACTGTATCTGCTATACCACCAAAATCAAAGGGCATCTAGCGGTCACAGTTTTGATCTGGAGGTTAAACTAATCCTAGAATTTTCACTACGTATTAATCCATGAATAACGTCACCTCAACAAGATGTCATTCCTGAAAGATGCGATTAAAATCGGATAGCCCGAAACCAAGCCTAGCGCTACTGTAGCGATATCCCAAAAGTTTAGATCTGGTTTAGCTCGCAATGGCCTTCACAGGTTTAATGCAGTAAAAGGCCGTTATTACATAACAAGGTTCAAATTTGACTGACATCTTAACCAAAAATACTTGTAGGAATGATAAATACTCACCTATAATGTCTGAAAAAGATATAATCCCTCTGATTATGGTAGGCGACAGCTCTGGCGCCTTGAAATTCTGGATCATAATGGAACAAAGCTCCCAACATTCTGCCAACAGTGAGACCCAGCCTTGTTTTAAAATTGTTCAAAATAACTTCTGGTCTATGTGCAGTAATATCCTTGTGAGATTTTCTCAATTCCGTTGTGATCTTCACATTACTCAATCTGAAATGAGCTGTTGGTCCATTAGGCAAATGTATAACCAACAGTCCATCAGGCTCCTTCCTATTTTCATTTATTACAAGTATGTCTGTGAATTCATTTTTAATGGCACTCTTTACCATTTTCTTTACACCTGATCTATTTCTATAGAGCGACACTGAATTTGGGATTATCCTCTTCAATTCCCTCCCAAAAATTCTAGTTTTCTGGAACAATCACAAGGTCGTTAGAAGAGGTTAATTATAAGAAAATCTAATCGAAAAGCGACCACTTGTTTTAGCAAGAGGGTGTCTGGTGGCTTGGATGGAAAAAATAACCCCCTTAGAGTTTTAGAACCAACCCTGTGAGGCTATCCAGGAAAACCACCTACTTGGCAATCTTGTGAAATTTTTTTCAGTCTTGCCAACTTTCAAGATTCTCTATCTGATTATGAAGAAAGAACAGGTCGCTGGTTTACCTCCAAAGTTCATTGTATTCAGTTATTCATGCTTTAACTCCTTAAAAATCCCCTTCTATTTTGCATCCATTGAAATTATTTTTATAAATCAGAAAATAATGTTACAGAAAACTTATTACAGCCCATCTTTGATAGAATGAGCAGGTGTGTCTTAAGCCATATGGGGGAACTTGGGCACACAAGTGCATGTGGCTTGTGGCTGAAGAGACCCCAGGTGAAAATCTGCAGCCATTCTTTGCCACTGGGGAAAAAAGGGTAGCTAGTGGACAAAGAAGTTTACACTACTAAATGATTTTTGAAATTCTCATTTGATTTTAGAGCATTGGAAAATCTAATAAATTGGATGTGAGACACGTATAATTTTGTCTTAAGTAACTAGATAATTGTTTTCAATATGTAGGATGAGCTATTCCTAATTCTGGATCCCCGCACAGAGGTTATTATGAAAAAAAAATCTTATAAGAATGAACAAAGCTGCTGTTTTTGTCTTATCCAGTGAACAAACACATATAAGCTGATCTCACCTTCATAGGATTGTCAGCATATGTTATTAACACTTTAGGTTCATAGGACTGCTTGTAGTAGTCACTGAACTCATCATTCTCTAGATCTTCTCTTACTAACTGGTTCTCTTCTGCTTCCAAATCCTGAATAATAGTTTCATCCTTTTCTCTTAAACTTTCAATTGTATGTGGCTGCTGTTTTGGCAAACCTTGCTTCTCTCTTTCTTTCTTAGCTTCTTTTTTAGCCTAAAACACAATGATCCAAGAAAACAGAACTTTAAACAGAATTATCGGGTGCTTTGCTAAAGTTATGAGGCAGAAAGATAAAACTCCCTCATTTTGAATACCAAGCAATCATGAAATTTTGAATTCATAAAGTAAAAAAGATACAAACTAAGGCCAGTCAACAGGAATAATTTCAATCAAAATATTACTGTTATCTACTTTATGCTGTTTTTTCTATTGCAACAACTTCTTAGCATCAATGTCACCAACTTTATAAGTATTCTACATTTTTTTATTCTATTGCCCCATTGCCCCACTATAAACATGATAGAATAATCTATATGGCTGAATATGTCAGTATTTGGGTTTTCATTATCTTCTAAGGAAAATAGCTTATTTTGTTTTCATATTCATTGTCACAGGAGCACAAGACTACTTATAATGAGAACCAAATTTGTCTGGCTACCTTGTGGAATACCTCTTTCTACCGTTAACTGTAATGAAACAGCTGATATTTCATTCTTTGTAATGAAAACTCTTTGCTTACGATCTGTCAGAAAGGCTTAATCCAGTTGCAAGCACTTTCCCTTATCATTTATTCCGCGAGTTTATTCAATAGTAGAGAATGATCCACACAATCATAAGCTTTGGAGAGATCAAAAAACAGAATAGACCTCTTTCTTGGGTTTGACACACTTCTCGCGCTTCTCTCTTGTAGACACTGAACTCAAGTGATCAGAAAAAATTGGTTCTCCCTGTATGTGATTACATATATGACAAGGTCAGATAATATTTGAATTTTGGCAGCTGTTATATAGTAGGTACCAAGGGAAAACATGTGGCCAGTAGAGTGACATATTATGAAAAAGATACTTTAAAGTGATATAAATATGATTACATAAATAAATTCCATAGTTCTTATAACAAGTCTTGAAATCCAGCAGTGTTTAAACAAGGGAATCATATAGATTGAGAGCTCACAGACTGTCAGGGTAATAGTTGAATTTGGAACCTAGACATTTTTTTCATAGCAGGTCACTGCAGTTGCTTTCATTGTTTATATTTTTACTGCGATGAAATTACAAAAAGTACAAATAGAAAAAGAGTAGAAAAAACAATTGACATGCTGACATTACATGAGCAACTGATGCATTCCCGATTTCATCGAGCCAAATCATGCTGGTTTCCAAATATCATTTCTGGATTTGATCAAGGTCAAATTGCAATGCTCTACTTTCACATGAGAATATGAAATTTGAATTGCACCAGGTGAGGGTGACACAATTTTTAGGAGTCACTTAAAACATGTTTTTATTCACCTATACAAATTTAGAGTATTCATATATTGTATCCATTCCATATACACAGATTTGTTGATATTTGGAGTGAAAGTCAGTAATGGACCTGACTAGGGGAGCATACATTTTGTTAATTTTTAGGCATATTGGACCTTAATTTCATCAGATACCAAATGGTACAAACCTTTCGTCGTTCTTTCTTGGTCTTCTGGAATTGCTGATTACGGACCTGCTTATTCTTGATATGAGCGTACTTCGTTTCATGAGGAAACGATACTGCTCCACTCTTTGAAGGTTTGATATCCTCATCCTCAATTTTGACGGAAACTTCCTCATTTTCTACATTATCAGGCATTTTCATAATTCGGTTTCAGTTTCTTTCCAACTCAAAAAATGCGGTTATGTTTAGTGTTTACACGTGCACAAACGTCAGTCATAGACGTCAAACGTCCGGTGTTATTTTTTCCTAAATATTTAGGTCGGACACAGTTTTGAAAAAAATCGGAAAATGAATTATTTACAATTGCTGAGATATTTAAACGGACTGTAAAAAATATGTCTGTATAATAAGCTTATTTTAAATTGCGTTTTCAAATTTCCCTCTTCATGTAAATGACAGTTCATGAACGATGCCGTCACAAGTGTCAACTGTTTTTCCCTTTTCTGTCACCAAAACTGAAAAATTTTGCTGAAATGTGCGGTCGTCTTTTATATTTCCTCAGTTAACATTGTAATATATATTTTTATCGGGTTCGACGGACTGATAACTGGTATACGCCTAATTGGTATCAGCGCGTTAGTGCCAGTGGTGCAGTCGAACAAATTTAAGTAACAAAATGGGCAACGTACATGCTTATTCTTCGACACCTCCACCACCACCCCCAGGAATGAGTTTTCCAAAAAATAAAAGCGACAAGCCATGTGACGATCCTTCACTATCACCCTCTGGAGCAAACGAAGTTATAGAGAACCCAGGCCCCCTTGAGGACATTCACACAAAGTGTAAAAGTAAGCTTTACATAACATAACCTTATCAGTATATACTCATGAACTTGAGTTTATTTCAGATGTGTTTCCAACATGTTTCGAAGGTGCACGAGTTATGCTTACCAGAGGTCTCAGTAATCATTTCCAAATATCACATACAATGAACATGAGCTCTGTTACACCTAGCGGGTACAGATTTGGTGCTACCTATGTTGGGACAAAGCAGATATCTCCCAGCGAGGCATATCCTATATTACTAGGTGATGTTGATCCCTCAGGAAACTTAAATGCAACTATTATTCATCAAATACATCCAAAACTTCAGGCAAAATTTGGAGCACAGGTATATTAAAATCTTATAGATACCTGCATCTATATAGTGAATAATAATATACATATTTTTCACAATAGGTTACATGACAACAAACACCAGCTGATCATTTAGTGACATTCAAAATAGTCTAGGGTGAAAGTGCCAGCAACCCAAACACTACCATACTGTGCAGAAGATACCCAAAATTTATGAAATAAATTAATCTTAATATGTTTTTTAACATTTTTTGTATTTCATTTTTGTCTAAACTGTCCAAGCACTGGCACATTCGTCCCATATTGTTGAAGAGTACCTCACACTTCCTAGCTATGCTGATCCTTTTGTGTGAACTATTTTGTATGAAAAAATTCTGAAACCTTTGGTGTACAATTGCAGAATGGATTTTATATGTTGGTGAATCTCAACAGCGGTATAAAGTTTGAGACAGCACTTGAATAGATACCAAAATGGGTTGAAGTATTGTGGAAAATAGTTTATGTAAACTGAAACTGATCCTTTTTATATTAAGTGACATATAAATCCGAATACCCAGTTTAAATGGTTTTATTTTAATAAAATTTTGTATAAGTACTTAATGAAGCATAATAAGTAAATGATAAAAATTTCAAAATGATTGCACTGCTTTAAAGCCCTTTGACCTTTATTAATGTGTGGATGCACCCTGATGTGCTACGCATTCTCCAACGCGCCTAGGCATGCTTCTGATCAGGTGGTCAATGTCCTCCTGTGGTATATTATTCCAGGCAACCACCAACTCCTCTCGAAGTGCTTCTAGAGTCTGAGGAGGACGTTGCAAATTGAGCAATCTCCTACCCATCATATCCCACACGTGCTCAATTGGGGATAAGTCGGGAGATCTTGGTGGCCATGGTAACAATGTGACATCGTTATGTTGAAAGAAGTGGTCGGGCATTATCTTGTTGGAAAGTTGGATCTGCCAGGGTGTTAAGATGGGGTTCTAGAACTTCGTGGATATAACGCTGCGCGTTCATGTTACCTCTGATGAAGATTAAAGGTGACCTGGAACCATAAGCTATAGCACCCCAAACCATAACTCCAACAGTGTGATGAACATGTCTTTCAACAAAAAACTGTGGATTCCTCCTTTTACCACGTCGCCTTCTAACCCTGGCACGACCATCGTGCATGCCTAAACAAAATCGAGACTCGTCACTAAAGACAATACTGTTCCATTCCTGATCCCAGAGTGACCGTTGTCTGCAGCATTTAAGGCGGTTACGTCGGTGTAAGGGTTAGAAGGCGACGTGGTGAAAGGAGGAATCCACAGTTTTTTGTTGAAAGACATGTTCATCACACTGTTGGAGTTATGGTTTGGGGTGCTATAGCTTATGGTTCCAGGTCATCTTTAATCTTCATCAGAGGTAACATGAACGCGCAGCGTTATATCCACGAAGTTCTAGAACCCCATCTTTTACCCTATCTTGACACCCTGGCAGATCCAACTTTCCAACAAGATAATGCCCGACCACATGTTGCAAGAGTCACAATAGACTTCTTTCAACATAATGATGTCACATTGTTACCATGGCCACCAAGATCTTCCGACTTATCCCCAATTGAGCACGTGTGGGATATGATGGGTAGGAGATTGCTCAATTTGCAACGTCCTCCTCAGACTCTAGAAGCACTTCGAGAGGAGTTGGTGGTTGCCTGGAATGAGATACCACAGGAGGACATTGACCATCTGATCAGAAGCATGCCTAGGCGCGTTCGAGAATGCGTAGCATATCAGGGTGCATCCACACATTATTAAAGGTCAAAGGGCTTTAAAGCAGTGCAATCATTTTGAAATTTTTATCATTTACTTATTATGCTTCATTAAGTACTTATACAAAATTTTATCAAAATAAAACCATTTAAACTGGGTGTTCGGATTTATATGTCACTTAGTATACTATGGAAGGTTAGGAGATTATTTTGTGTAGTCCATATTATCTATGCAATTTAATAAGCATTAGATTTAGTAATTTTTTTAAAATTATTTTTATTAGGTTCAAAACTCCAAATTCCAAGTTGGCCAGCTGACACTAAATTATAGAGGCAGTGATTATACTGCCAGTTGCACAGTGGCCAATCCAGATATTGTTAATGGATCAGGAGTTGTTGTATTACATTATTTACAAGCAGTCACAGCAAAGCTAGCATTGGGCTCGGAACTAGCTTACCAGAAAGGCTCTGGAATACCAGGAGGGGAAATAGCTTTACTAAGTGCAGCAGCTAAGTAAGTCTAATGCTTTGATTTTGAAAAGCTATATTTACTATTCTGCAACAAATCCGTATTGGCATGCGTTTAATGTGTATGAGAGAGGAGCATGATGAATATGTAGTTGGAAAGAGATAGGAACCAGCTGGATAGCAAAGCTCATCGTCACGTTGCTTAGCAACGCTGACGAGGCAGTCTGCCGTGTCTATGTTACACCAGTTTCTTTCTGAATTAAGGTGCATATTGAAAATATGCGCTAGTTTATTCTTTACGCCCAAATAATGGTTTTATTTTGAGCAAACACATTTTTGAATTGGTAATTCTGTCGAATCTGTTTCGGATCGATTCCGGATCGGTCCTAACCGCGCTCCATTTTAGTCAGAAATGAAAAGTCAGGATCGCCACAAATTCTGCAACATTGCATCATTGGTTCGTTCAACAACACCGCATCTTGTACATTTCACCTAAATGACCATAGTTGAGTGATTTTGGCCAGTACCCATCTAGCGCTCGTACGGGAGTGTCGTTCTGTTTTGAAATGGCTTTGACCTGTGTACACACAGGCAGTGATAACTTGTATTGCATAATGTTATTTGTTACAGCAGCACTGTCGCAAAATGTAAGAGTAACTTAGGTTGTATTGATTTCATCACTATCGGTGAAAATCAAAGATAATTCTAGGATAGATTACGACACTAAGGCCCGTATCGTCAGTCGTCCCTACAATTGTAGGGCGCGTTTATGGCCTCCTTGATTGTCATACTCCTTTCTCTTCTTCAAAAATTTCTAGATTACACTTGTCCCATGTCAGCGTCAGCGCTCTCCTATTATGAAGATATATTTTCTTTTTAAATTGTAGGAAATTTCAGGCTGATAAAACATGATATAACTCAAAAGCAAGCACAACTTGATGCAAATAGATGTTTGTGACATAACCTCAAAATAGAGTTCTGACACGGAGAACCAGAAAACTATGACAATCAATGAGGCCATAAAGGCGCCCTACAATTGTAGGGACGACTGACGATACGGGAATAAGTCGCATCTAAATTGAAATAAACAAATCATTCTAGTCAAAATGAAAACAAAATATTAAATTAAATGTTCGAACAGATTCCTTTTTGGGTTTGACAGTAACCTAACCTATTGTAGAAGGCTATGTGAACATTTTCTGGTGTAATATATTGGCAACGCAGCAGATTCCGTCACCGTTGCTAGGCAATGTGGTGATGACCGTCGCTGACTAGCCGCCTACTATCTACACTTATCGCGCTTCTTTCTTTTGTACACATTGAACTCAAGCTGTCGGACAAATTTATTTCCCTCCATGATATATAGATAGTTTATTTGTCTATAAGTGATATAAAGGACTAGGATTTGGAAATGTTGCCGTTGAAAGCATCTAGTCATTTGACTGAGGAATTTCTGCACCAAAAATTCAGCAAAGGAAGAAAAATTAATTATTAAGTATGAGTAGACATTTTAATAATACATTTGTGTTCTACTAGAACATTAAGATGTATTAACTTTGAATAAAAAACGCCTCTTCGATTTTTTGTGGAAGTATAATTTCTGCAAAAGGTTTATGCTGTGTAGTTAATACTGCCAGAATCCACCAAAGAACGAATGTGTTGTTCATAGTTCAGATGACTCTGACTGTATTTAATTACCATGTACTGTCTTTAAAACAGCATATTCTCCTTATACTGTCATACCACAATGCGAGAGTAGCAAAACACACCACTGAATATAATGGGATTTGCGCATACAGATGTCAATATAAAGGTATGCTGCATAATTAGTTTCCAGCGGCGCCGGCGGTCGGGTGTGTGCGCGTCACCTGAAAAGAAGACAGAGTTGCCGTTCTTTAGCCTAATGCGTAATCTTTCGTAACACAACCTCTATACATATACCTTTGAACATGAGTTATTTATATATCTCCGCGGACGTCTGTTTTGACGTTGCTATGTCTTTGTTATCAAGATTTAGTTGGCAATACCGAAATTTGAATATATAAATGCGAATGTCCAGTCCATTGGTATTACATCTGAACAGTGAGACATAAAAATTTGTACACTTGCCAGTTGGCATCTGAGGAAGGTAACTGGTATGTTTTTATCCGCGAACTTATCGTCAATTGTGGAATAACATTTGACAATATTTAACTGTTGCGAGGTACCATCTAATCTCTACCAGCGGCGTCAAGCTAGCCACAGAGCGGCCGGAGATCACGTTTCATGACTTAGTCAATTGACAGCCGACTTGCATCTTTAGGAAATTTGGTTAGTTTACTAGTGGCGCCACCTATTCGTTCTGCGGGTAAAACCGCGAGGCGAAAATTTAATTTTTAATAGAATAAGGTATCAGTACCCATATGCTTTTTCTTTCAATCTCTTAACTTGGTAAGTAATCCAAATGTAAATACTTCACTTTCAGATACACCACGGAAAATGTGCAAGTATCAGGTACATTGGGAGTATCTGGTGTACATTTGTGTTATTACCAAAGAGCCAGTAAACAGCTACAGATTGGGGTGGAGTTAGAAGCTAATCACAGAATGCAGGAAGCTGTTGCGTCTATCGGTTATCAAGTTGACTTGCCTAAAAGTGAAGTAGTATTTAAAGGTAAAAAGAACGCATCAATCTTTGTTTTTCTTCAAACAGATCACAATAGATTCAGCAACAGTGTCTTAATATTTGACCCACAGGGCAGACATTTGATTCAATGGATGACATTCCATAGTAAGAAGTATGCAGCTTGAACACTTAAATCACATTTAAAATGAAAATGTTAAAAGTTGTATTTTGCTGTGTAGCCAGATTAAAAATTAGTATGTAAGCTCATGAAAAAAGTTTACTTTTAATCAACATAAATGTGATTTTATAAAATGTTGGTTCCAAAAAAAAGAAACCCCTAAATATATTATGTAAAAAATACATGATAGAGCTTTGGTTAGGGGCAACCTTACATGTTTTATGAATAACTTCTATTTTCATACAGTTATAAGTAACGCAGTTTGCGGATGTTTTTTTTAACTGTATGAAAACAAGAGCTGTTTGTAACACCTGTAAGTTGTCCCTTAGCTAATGTTTTAAAGGTGCACAATCATTGAGGAGAAATTAATTCATACTTTCTGAAATTGAATGACAGTCGACCGACAGTTTTTGTCTGCTGTGAAATATACAATCTCCTCAATTCACATTGTTCATAGAATAATTCTTTTTCAGGTCACGTAGATTCAAACTGGTCAGTAGGAGCAGTTCTAGAGAAAAAATTGAGCCCACTGCCGCTTACTTTAGCTCTTAGTGGTCTAATGAATCATAATAAGAATCAGTTTAGGCTTGGAGTTGGTATACTTATCGGATAAAATAAACGTTCCAAAAATAATAGACTACCAAATTTGTTGTTGGACTTTTACCAATTAAAGTTATTATGCAACAACAGCAATCGTTTTAATGCCTATTTTTTTATGTTATGGTTCGCGTAATTGTCACAATATTTTTGTACATACATTTTTTGACATGTGTTCATTACTTAAACTATGTATAATCTGGATGCGTGTCTCACTGAGTTTATTTATATAAAGTGCATTTACTTTTTTAAGTGTATGTCAAAAAATTTGTGTTTGTAGACCAAAACAAATCCCCACTTTTTGTTGATTTTTTTACAGTGTTATTTACAAAATGTAAAATAGAAAAATATATTGTTAATTGAAAACAGTTTATTATTCTTCAGCAATTGAAACAATGTTCTGTATTTATTTTTTCATTCGTCCAGATGGCTTCTTGTTCGCAGACAGCTGTTTATCCTTAGATTTATTGTACAATAAAGGGTGCAGTTCTGTAAATAGAAGTCATTTTCCAGACAAAAATACATAATTTTTCCCTTAGACCCGTGCATGCAGTCCGTTACTATAAAGCACATTGTGAATTCTTGTGGATTAAAACATATACCGGTATCCCGCAATTTGAGATCTGTATTATATGGCTGTCTTAAACCGTCTGGTGTATAGAAAAGTCTTGGATCGTTTATGTCTGGGTGTAGTTGTAACACTGCAAACGTTCACATTACTACAGGGTGGCCAATATGCTGACTGATTTGAATTGTGCGCCATTTTTGATAGACCAAAGACGTGGAAATTATATATATATATATATATATATATATATATATATATATATATATATAATTTCAATGGCAGGGGTGTCCAATTTTGCACCCGCTAGGTGGCGCTAGTGTGCTTGGAGATCAAACTGCCAAAATTAGGTAAAAGAACATTTAATAAATAGGTAACCTATTTTTTTACGCTTCGACGGCTATTGACGTGAACAGCTGATCAGCAACAGACATCTTTGTCTGTTTATAACCTAAAACATCACCGCCAACATAAACCCTATTTCACTAGTATCCATTAAGTCTTGACGTCTACTAAGGTGAACAGCTGATCAGCAAGTGACATCTTTGTATCAGGCTGTAATGTTGTCAATGATGAATAGGGTGTAAATCTGGTAATACTAAGGACTTCATTCAGAGCTGTTGTTCACATATCTAGATACTTTGTGACAGTAAATTTTCACAAAATATAGGAAGCACTCATAGAAAAATGTTTATTAAAAAATTATTGTTGTTCATCTGGGATTTATTATAAGTTAATAAAACAGACCTTACCGGTAGCTGTAACTTTACATCTGAAAATAATATTGACACGAGCTTCTGGTTATAACCCGTCATCAGTGTAACGTAATCAAATATGGCACTTTAAAATCATATGGTGTTTTGTAAATAAAAAAGTTGTTAAGACATACAAAATGAATCTGTAGCGTACAAAAAAACAAAATACGGCTCTGTCTAACTGGCGTTGACGGATCCGTCAGAATTGTGGCACATGTCGATATTGGGAATTTCGGAATATGATTAGTCAGCTGTTATTCTACCGTAATGGATACTCGTGACAAAGATTGTAACTAGGTCTGTTGTACAATAGGGTGCGTTTGATAAGTAGTGAGACTGGCCGGCATGTAACCACCTCCCCCAGTCACTTGCAATGCGGTCCCGGGGACCCAGTCCGCAGTCTAAAGCTCTGATGTAGCGAGGCACCAAGTAAAAGTTATTCGCCAACTCGTGATACTGCGAAAACTGCAAGTCTCATTACTTACCAAACCTGTAACGTCACTTGACCCCCAAGACGCCTGCATGGTAACAATACACGATACCATTACAGGTACTCTTCAATTAAAGCCTTACTTAGGTTCTAAATAAAACTAATTCCAGAACCTGCAGCAAAAGTTCTCGTGATTTCAAAGAATAAATGGTTCCGGTGCCGTTCCATGTAGAACCTGAATAAAGCTAAAGGTGACAAAAATGCCTAACTTTGATCTCGAACATTGCATTACAACCAATTCTATAGAAATTCACAATGTAACTTCAAGTAGTCATTATTTCTGGCGTTGCATACTCGGATACGCAAAATTACCATCATTCTTCAGCAGACAATATGCAGCATTCCCAATCACAGAACAGAAAGTCAAAAGCTAAAAGAAAGGAATACTAAAAACGAACAACCATATCAAAACTAATCCAGATGCATGTTTTATTGACAAAAAAAACATAAATCTAACTGAACACCAGACATACTATTGATAACATAGTAATATCCAACACATAATAAAACTCTAAGATCATAACCAGCTACAATATGCATGTGATCACGTTAACTATTGTTACCTCCATCAGATACGTTTTCTAAAGCTATGTCGAAAGACTTGTACTTTTTTTTCTTTGCTGGTGGAGGACCGTTACTAGTACTTAAAATTGGTGCAGTTGTGTTAGGTTCTGTGGGGGTCCAATTGTCTTCTGGGTCTTCAATCTAAAATTGGAAACAAACCAAACATGAGTGACTGAGAATAGGCCAGAGAACAATAATCCAGATCCTTTTTTATTAAATTTTTGGAGTCCCACACGTCGCTTCAACTTACAATTTGATGCTCATATATTTTGTAAGACATTCAAAATGTATATACTCGACGTTTAAACCTACATTTTTGTTGGAGGTAAGAAACATCAGACCCCATGCTGCTCAATTTTTGTTATCTAATAGAACGCACCAGTGACGTATATTTTTTTCAATGTTTTAAGTGATCTTGTATCGTATGGATTTCGTATACACATGTGATGGTTCACAAAATATGTGAAAAAAAAAACGTTACTATGGCTCTAAAAAACAGGAAAATAAGCTTTTAGCAATTTTTTCACTCCTTTTTTCAATCACGACATTTCAAAAATATTGAAAAATACACAAAAGTAATTTGCCAACTGAAAGGATAAAATGACGTACTTTCGTCGAAAAACCAAGCTTATGCTGTTTTCTAAGTGTTCAAGGGGTAAACAAATTTTTTGCATTATTTTTTTTTAACCCACCAATTCAAGAGATACAAAAAGATCATTAAAGGTTATCTTATTTTCACTTCATAAGTTAAAAATACAAAACTGTGAAATCCTTCACAAAGGCACAAAAAGGCAAGTTGTCTATGGGCACTCGGAAAATTGAGGGTTTCATGTTTTTACGTTATTTACGACTTCGAAAACCTTATAGTCGGAACATGAATTTAAATTCTATAAGATTGTGGGGGGTACTCTAATCTCGCATTCGAGATTAGTTGCACTTGGTATTCTAATTTCGACATTGGTATCGCAAGCGACACATTCTCACACGCGACAATGGAATTTTATTCCTGTGAGTCCTGTCATCGTTTTTCTGAAATAGAGGGCCAACAACTAAGAAAAAAAGTAGTATTTCAAGCAAACTCCTACTTTGTCATCTGCCATTTTGTCGAAAGGTAACAAAATTTCGAACGCCCCCTTCATTGCCGCATGATATTAGCATCGCGAGATTTTGTCGAATAAGAAGTATAATGTCGATTGCGAGATTCAGGAAGGCACTTTATGAGTTTCGTGCGACATTGGGCTATCTCGCATGCGACATTGTCCATTGGAGAGTACTCCCCCCTCCCCGGTTGCCTTTGGAACGAGGTGACAAAAGAAACCACAAATTTCAAACTTGTTTTGTTGTTTTTTGAATGTCTATAAGAAAAATAGAACAAATTAACATCCAAAAAGTCAACACTACAATATGATTTCAGACCAAGTAACTACACGGCCAAGTAATTTAATGCTCGGTAAAATGGACCGAGTACTCGGCGCATATATTTTGCTTCCGTTAGGTGACGCTTGTGACGTTGGTGGGTCAAAACTCTCAAGCTTTGATGGGAAAAAGATAAATTTGTTTGCCTCTTAGCAACCTTACATATGACGGATATTCTCCCCTGCCTAACTAGCGCCATCAGCCTCTAGCTTTCCAGATTGATGCTTGCCTGAAAGACTCTGGTCCATGGCCATTTGATTAACTTATGTTGTATTTTAGACCTGTCTCATATAATTCAATCTAAATTCCAACTCCCTAGAAAAACTATGTTTAGGATCCAATGGATACCGTTTCTTCACTTAAGGACTCCTTATTGAGAGGAGACCTTATTTTACTTGACAACCATGGCACATAGGAGTGTTGTTAAATATCTGTCTGGAGGTAAAAACTTCCAAATTTTTTTACATTATTGTTAATTTCAAAGAATGTCCATTTCACTACAAGGTTCATAGGGACCTACCCTTTCTGGATCTCGTTATAGAAAACAAACTGAGTAAACTGAAGTCAATTGAGCTTATCAGAGATTCTGTATGAATCGATCGCGATTATTGTAGAAAGCCAACGACACTAATGGATCTAATGATACATAATCATGATACAGATCACAAAAATACATAACGTGTAGCATTCACCTTACGAATCAATCTTTGCATTATATCTCCTGGAGATGGATTGTACCATTGCTCGGTAGAGACATGTCCGACAATTTGCGCGTAACTAATAAGGAATATATCTCACCTCCGGTGCTATGGGTAAAAATTGTAAGCAATCGTTTTCGTTTTCTTCATCTGAACTACAAAATGCTGCCACAGGATCCACAGCACAGACGTCAACCTGTAAACCATAAAGCATTAAGTTACTTGTACGATTGCCTATTAACAATAGAAATACTAGGTTTTTATACGTTGCGTCCAAAAATAAGATGGCGATCTTTCACAGACCAGGTAGTATATTCGCGTCTGATGGTAAACATATTCGAATCTTCATATTTCCAGGCCCACATATGTGTCAAAAAAAAATTAAAACATTTTTAAGTAAATTCCAATACTTGCTTTTTCCGCTTTGGTCAAAGTATTTAGGCAGAGTATACACTGAGTGCGCCCTTGGTTAACAGAGGTTTACAATAACAATGCCCCTTGGAATGCTTTGGGATTTTATTGATGGATGACTAAAACTGTTTAGGAAGTTTGGCGTCATTAAAATTTATCACTGTTTTTCGGTGTCGAAAACGCCATATTTTGCATATATTGTATCGCTTATATCTCGAAAACTATCACTTCAGATGAGAATTCCAAAGCACTTTTTTGTTTAGGTATTCAAGAAAACCTAAAAACACTGACCAAAGTGAAGAACCAATTTGTGGAGTTTTTTAAAAATTGTTTGATGTAGATTTGAGGCTGGCAACATGCAGATTCATTAGAAAAGGTCCTTTTTATTAAGATTGAGTAAAACTTCTAAGTCAGAATATTTTCTCTATACCTGGTCTAACAGATGTATGTGGGACACCAAAACTAGTGCAATAAGTTTCTGTAAAATAATACCATAGGGCTACTCTAGTGAAAAATGTGGCGCCTAAAGGAAGTCACTCGAAATCCTTTTTAAATGACTTTTGATACGTTACCCTTATTACGTAACTGCCGAATGGAAGGGATAGCGTATGATGGCCATAATTGTCAATTTGGAACTATCTATCATTCACTTAATATTCAGTTGCAGTAGCTGTATATTGCGACAAAATACTTGAGCTATGTGCTGTGTCTCTGATGTGATGTAACATGTATGGCGATCGGACCGTTATCATTTCGTTTAATTTACATAATACAGATTCGGGTTGGTCGCAACGTAATAATGGATAAAAACTATATCCCTTTTACTCTGATATATCCTGTATTAACATCTTGAAACATATTTAATCATCTGGGAACAAAATTAAATCGTCTTTTATAAGGTACGTATAAACATATTTTTCTTGTCATGTAAATTAACAGTTACCTCCAAATCTGTATCCTCCTTATCATCTCCACCACTCGCTACTGACTTGTCCTCATCGTCCAAATCGAACTCACTTTCCCTTTCTTCATATTCCACATTTTCATCTAACTCTTTAAAGTCTGGTGCAAATGCGGACCAGTTTTCCACCTGGTTTTGGGCCCATACACTCACCACACCTAAAACGAGTTAGTTTTGGCATGGAGAAATCATATGTCATGTAAACATCTTTTGAATATGGTTGCTATGTATATGTTATGTCAAATTTTTCAACTGATTGCCTGCTATTTTTGACATACTATAATTTCGAAAAATTAAATTCCTTCTCTGAAAAAATATTTACATATATCGATACTAACCAGAAGAAATACTAGCAATGATAGGTCTGACAGGATGCCAAGCAACATCTAGCAACAGTTCTCCCTTTGTGCCATGCAAAATTTTCACGAGATTTCCTATTGATTTTTCCCAAATGTAGAGGGCATGCTGCCTAGTTGATCCCGCACAAATATATTCACCATCTCCGGAGAAACAACACTTCTTCCACATAGTCCTGTAGCAACGTAAAATTTGAAAGAAACTAACTTTATTTTTTGACTGCGCAAACTTACTTATTCACCAAATCTTGAAGTTTCTGTATTGGTTCTGCTTCACCGTCTTTACCATATGCCAGAACTTCTTTGCTGTTATATACTCTAATAACTCTATCTGCAGTGTTTATCAGGAAGCAACTAAAACCGATAAGACGATTAAGAAAAGAGCTGAACCAAACCGTGTTGGTGATTCTAAACTGGTAAAAACCGTGCAGCTCAGTCAAAGTGTCACCTTCTCAATTTTCAGTAATCAGCTAATCTTTACTTTTTGGTTTACCGTCTACCGAAAAATTTCACGATCTGCCTATCTATTTAAATGTCGTACAAATCCACCGAAAACAGGTCGACAGTACTTTTCATGTATGCACTGATTAGAGGTTGTATATATTTAGGAAAGATCGAATTTGCAAATATTTAACATTTCTGTTTTCAGCTCAAATATATGAACTGACCAAACAGATTAATTTCATATTTTCGAGATGCATTTCAATGATTTTAGTATTAATAGAGCAGATTACTTTGACGCTCTTGAAAGGCGTTCTAAACCCTATTTCACGAGTATGCATTACGAGGTGAACAGCTGATCAGCAAGTGACATCTTTGTATTAGTCTGTAACATTGGTAATGATGAATCTAGTGTAATCTAGTAAAACCTGCCTTTAGCATTTTTATTTTCTGTGTAAACGCACCTTTCTAAATTCAATAGTTGTTAGCAAGTACAAAATTAATAAGTAGCTTACAAAAAACCAAAGCAAAATTCGGCGCTATCTACCTGGCGTTGACGGATCCGTCAGAATTATGTCATTTATCGATATAGGAAGGCTTACCAGATAATTAGCTGTTGTTCCGCCGTAATGGATACTCGTGAAAAAAACAATATTTGCGAGAAGCTATGTAGAACGCCACAGTATTTTGAAGGCGACACAGTTTTTTGCGTTCCAATTCCACACAAGTATTTGATAAAATAAATATCATACACGTATCGCATGAAATCTGGTACGGTCTCATAGTTTTCAACATCTCCATAAATCTCAAATTGCACATTGAATAAAAATGCTTTCTAATAATAAAAATCGAGGATTAGAAAAAATGGCTATCGCTTTAGAATAGACCTCTCTGCAACTAGGTTAATTTGAATCTTTAGCAAAAAGGAACTTCACATGACCGGTTCCTAATAAAGAAACCAACTTTTCCGTCAAATTGTAATTAAACATTATTAATCATCCAAATAGCATAAAAATACATATGATAAGTGATGAACTTACTCTCCTCTCCTTGCAAATTCTATACTCCTCACAGCTGTTGCACTGGATGATCCCAAACCTATCCTAAAGCTAGCTTTTAACTCTAAAGTATGCGAGTCTAATACTAATACTTTGCCTCTGGCATTGCCTGTGTAAATATAATCACCTCTCCTGTCAAATGAGGCCACAATGTTTAGATCTCCCTGGAAAGCAACAGTCAATGGATTGATTTCTTGATTAAAACAAATCAGAACTGCTAGTTTATTTAACATGTGAGGTGGACTGGTGTTTCCAAAATCCTTGAGAAATATCATTTTTGAGCTAATATCACAGCATGCAAAAACTGGTCAACATATCCCAGCAATGCCGAGCGGCTAATATTATGCAATATGGTCGTGATGGCTGGGGTATAGTTGCCATTGTTATACCAAAATATTGCTGCAAAATATTGTTCTTCTAGGTGCTCCATACCATTTTTGCCATTACAGGATTAGTTCCCAAAAACTATTCTACATTCAACCCGCGTGTTATTGTACAAAGTACTCACATCTTCATCTACTGGTAAGATCTGATGACCCCCATTTGTGTCCACTAATACAGCTGCATGTTTGATGGGACAAACTAGCAGCCTTTCCATACTTCTTGGCTCAAACTGTACTTTCAAAACAGGGCATGGGAATCTATATTTCTGTTCACATTCCCCAGTAACTGTACTCCATATGCAAACGTTATTATCAGTTGATGCAGATGCAATTTTGTAGCCATTTCTAGACCAGCTAATACTGCATATTGGATGGACATGTGCTGATATAATCTTAGCGATACCTCTGGTTAGAAAGTCCCATATTACTATGCGTCCATCGTTGCAACCTACAGCTAACAGTGTGCCCCTTTTGTTGAAAGCGCATGTTACAGCCAATGAAAGGCAGTCCAAGGTGCCATCGAATTCCTGAAAAGAATATGAACATCGTACATTTAGCACTTCTCAAGTCATCGTTGGTTGTCAGAGCGGTCCGTGGGACCTTAGCTCTTGAGTCACAGTGTCAGTTTGTAAGTCTGTCAGGTCTGGTAACCCAGAAACCAGACAATTTTAAGGAAAAAAGGAGAAGGAAGAACGAGAGCAAAGGGGAAGAAGAGGATCTTTTAGGATATGCAGCGTTTAGGCATTGTTAAAATCGCTTCACAGATTTTGATATGGTCTAAAAATATTTGATTTTTTCTAAAGATTGTGTAAAAATGCTCCAATTTTGGTTGTTCTAAGTTCACGATTTAATTTTGATTACAGTGCGAGCCGCGGCCTTTTGTGCTTGCGAACTTGCTCGACTGTGTAGTCCACTGACTCACGCAACAGAGGGTTGCTGTGCGATTCCGCTAGGCTATAGCGCCGCTGCGCCTGTTGCTTAATGTAGTCCTTTAGGTAAGGGACATCGAGGTCTCTATGTAGAGTTTCGTTAGAGACATACCATGGGGCATCAGCAATAGTGCGCAACGTCCTGCTTTGCAGAACCTATCTACTTTGTGGTCAACTACCGCGAAAATGTTTAAATTTGTGTTAAAAATGTCTGTCTGTACATTGGTTGGCGTTGTACAACTTGTAATAAAGTACTATTTGTTCAGGAATAGATGGTTTCAAAAGACCTTTGTAGGGTATGCATGTGCAATACAAAAATGTACTTTTATAAGTCGTTAAAACTATAAAGAAATTATAAAATATGAACCATTATGACCATAAATTCGCCTCCACTTAACCGATATTCGACAATGTACTCCCATATCATCCTGATTCTCAAAAATCAATATTGAGGCAAAAGTTCCTGAGATGTGGAAGTAACAAAGCTGAGGTTGATGAAAATAAATGATACAGGGGTCATAGAATAGAAACAAATTGTTTATTTCAGTCTCAAAGCTGTGCTTAGATAAGGTTCATGTATAATATGTGAGTAGTTGGAACCTGCTTGAAACAGTATTGAAAATGTTACAATTTACGATTTTCATAAGTGGAAGAACTAAAAATTACAAGAGATTGAATCAAACTTTTTGAGTATTGAGAGGGAGAACAAACTGAAATAAACAAGCATATTTTAAAAAGATACAAAAAACCAACTGCAGTAACTGAAAGGTTCTTGTTGTATTAACAAGACGAATTTAGGACTCACCTAAAATGTCACAATCTATCAAGCAATTTGAGCTGTAGTCCCCAGAATCGAAATTCCAAAATTGAAACTTGCATTTTAAAATCCAGTATTTTGATTATATGAAATCTTAGTATATATAGTATTTATTATACTGTCAAGGAAAATCTGGCGACACCTGATACGTCAAAATCTATCAAGCAATGAAGCTGTAGCCCATGAAATAGGAATTTAAAAATGTAGATTTGTATTGAAATCCACAAATTTGACTTCATAAAATTTTAGTTTATCCAGTATTCTTGCACTACCAAGTGAAATCTAGAGACACTTGATATATCAAAATCTGTCTTTGAGTTGTAGCTCATGAAATAGAAATTTAAATGTGGAAATTTTCTATAAAAATTTATTATTTTTATTTTATGAAGTTGTATTATACCCAGCATCACTCATGCTGGGAAGAAAATTCTAACAATACCTCAAAGGTCAAAATCTATCAAGCTGTTTCGATTGCAGCCAATCTAATAGAATTATGCTTGCCCATATACACAGAGACACAAAAAGATAACCCTCCTTCTAAGGCAGTTGGATTAAAAGAGATGTGATAAGAGGTATCATCATATAATGGACAATTAAACCATTAAAGTCAATATATATATATATATACAGGGTGACTTCAAAGTTGAGTCATTTATTTTAACAGTGAGTAGATCTGATCAAAAGAAATGTTTTTTTCCTTTAACATTTTTGTGGTAAAATTAAAGTAACAAAGTTATAGCCCTTTAGAAGTTTGAGTACCGCCCTGTCTCAATAATAATATTATGTGCTCGTGTTTAGCAACAACAGATATAATCCGCCTTATCGGTTCATCGCATCGGAAACAAAAAAGCAAAAGAATTTGAAACGCTGATCACAATGTTTTTGTTCAGTCAATGTGTCAGTCGGTAACGCGTGAGTGAATAGTGGTGTTTGCTGCGTGGCTCAGACGAAATAAAAAATGGCACATGTTTATGCGGATCGGTTTCCTAATCGATTGCAACGGGCAAACAAGGTAAAATTTTTTTTTTATTTTTACACACATATTTTGGTTTATCTTCCTTCTACAATCATTATCTGAAAATTAATGACTCAACTTCAAAGTCACCTTGTATATATATCAGCTTGCAAGGAGATGCATATGTGCATCATGTTTTATTATTGATATGGCACTTATTACAAATTCTGAATACTGAAAAGTTGAACTACTTCTGGCAGTGTAAATTAATTCTCAGCATTCCTTTATCGCTAACAAGGCTTGCTAGCTGCTTTAGCGATGCAATCTCAAGACCTGCATCTGTTAAAAAAAGCTGTTTCGTTTTTTTCTAAGGCATTATCAAATAAATATATGCAGGCGTTCAAATTTCTGATGCTAGATCATGAACTGGGTGTAATCCTCATAAAGATTGATAAGAAATAATTCGGTTTGCTGGAGCTCCTTTTGTGTCGTGTTTCATAATCAGCGTTAACATTGGAGCCTTCTGACTCAACCCTGATACATATGTAATAAAAATATCAAATTTTTTTACCTCTGGATAATTTTGCCCAAAGGACTCTGGAAAAAGAAATAATATGATAAAATACAAACTAGATGAAATCTCGACTAAATCATACCTAGTAGTTCCAAATTCATTTTATAGTTTAGATTTTGCTGGAATAAGCCACTAAGCTACAAAAACATGACGTTAGTAGGGGAAAATAACCGGAAAATGTTCAAATTCACCAAAAATAAACAATAAACAGGTATAAACAGGGCAAGTGACTTGAAGGTGACAGAAATTGACAGATGACAAGTGTTTAGATGATGAATATTAGAGATGAGAAGTAGAAGTACGGCGGTATGGCATGAATATCCACTACTGTGAATTATATGTGAACAGTCTGAACAACGTGTTTGCTGTGCTGTGAGAATCAGTGGATTGACTGGATTCAGAACGTACCAAGTTTTTGACAGTTCATGTTCCATGTGACGAGTTTGATGCCGACCGAAAACATTTGTTTTGTTTATATTATTATGAAATTCATCTAATATTGAAGGACCGAGTAAAGATAACATGGTCATGCAAGATAACTGTTAAAATGTATTCTACTAGACTCTAGAGGACTATCCGTAGCGAAATTTTTGCCGAAATCGTTGCACAACACTTAAGAAAATGCAGATGAAAATTCGTTCTAAATGAGTCCGTCGGTACCCCGGGATAGAGATCCGCTTTGACAGATAACCATTCTTGCCACCTGAATTGCGGCGTTGTCAGCTGATCGGACGATTTTGCTACCTACCTCTGCTATTTTGATAGAATGTTATAAAAAAAGAAGTTTTGTATAAAATATTGAGGAATACCAATCGAGATATATAAAATTTGAGGCGTAGCAATGTTTGCCAAAAAACTAAACAAAAGCAGTTATTTACAGTTTGCGTCGCCTGGCGTCCATGCGGTGGAACGTTAATGTCTCAGAACATTTTTTAAATGCCCGGTTCTACAGGATAAAATACTTCTTGAATACTTCAACAATTGAAAAAAAAAACAATGTTTTAATATATAAATATATTTATTAACTATTTGATCTAAAATTACATAAACTTAACAGGAGAAGTAGGATGTTCATTTTACTCAACTATTTATTAGTATCCGCCTTATATGCAGAGGTATTAGTCATTCATTTTGAGGAAGTTTGTTTATAACTTAGAAAACAAATGTAACGTCGAAGTCGCAGAAAAAGATGGTATTAGATACAGGGTCGTACTTTTTTAAATGTTGTGCACATTTAAATACACCATCATGTAGTGCAATTAGTTTTTTCATTTCTTAAAATACAGTCAGACAAAAATAAAAACGATTTGGCCAAATTTTAGTTTTTTCCAAATACCTGCTTTAGTGCTGTGACGTGGGTGTCAAGTGTCTCCAAAGTGATTCGCTACATTCAAACCATTTGTATCGAACTATTAGATCGTTTTACGTTATTGAAATGACCCTCGTATAAACCGTTACTTCATTGCTACTTTTTTTTAGGCTAATAACAGTGACATGTTGGCGATTTTCGATTGTACAAATGAAGCCAGGATTGTGGAACAACTTAATTTTTCGTCACCTGATACAATTAATCTTAGCAGTGACGGTTGAGGTTTTCTAGGGGTTTTCGTCACCCAAGTGCGAATGCAGTCACTAAAAAACCATATTCCCTTAATAAAGAGTAGAGAAAAAGAAAATCGTACTTCTCCTATCAATGATCATGTAATTTTAGATCAAATAGTTAATAAATATATTTATATATTAAAACATTGTTTTGTTACAATTGTACACGCCAGGCGACGCAAAATGTAAATAGCAGTTTTTTGGCAAAATTGCTACGCCTCAAATTTTATATATCTCCATTGGTATCCCTCAATATTTCATTCAAAGCTTTTTTTACATTCTAGCAAAATAGCAGAGGTAGCAAAATTGTCCGATGATTTGGCAACGCCGGAATCTAGGTGTCAAGACTGTATGCTGTATGTTTATCCCGGGGTAACGACGGGTTCGTTTAGTACGTCAAGGCGGCAGTTTTTCAGTCTTCATTTGCATTTTTAAAGCGGTTTGCAAGGATTTCGAGAAAAATTTCGCTACGGATAGACTTCTAAAGTCTAGTAGAGTATATTTCAATAGTTGTCTTGCGTGGCCATGTTATCTTTACTCGGGCCATATTGAAGAAAGGATACGTTGTTTGCATACACTATACTTTGATCATCGGGTAATGGAAACTAAGAAGGAATTTGAAACAGTTTCTATGAAGCGGGAGACTATTGATGCTGAGCCAAGTTGTGATAGGTAGGCAATTTTCTAGTAACTACAGACAGATCTGACTGGGCTCTAGGGTTCTGATGGGCGTCCCAGAATTGGTGTACGGGTGTGGGTATGTGATGTGCCCAGGTTTTGTAGCGGTAGTTTAGATCTAGATTGGAACTACACTTATTGGAGGGGCCTTTTGGCAAAGCAACATTCATGGCCCTAGTAGCAGTAATGAGCTTCTAAAGTACCTTTGGCTCTTTTTGGTGACTCCAGACACCAACACTAAAACTACCAACTTGACACTGTTCAAATTAAGGTCAAAACATAACTACATCATCCCAAATATATCATCTCTAAAGGAGCCCCTAAACTAGCAATGTCTTTTTAAAAATATTTGGCCATAACTATGGCAACTATAGCCTAACTATTATCACATTAGACTTGTTCTGGCGACAACTTCCTTATGGTTATGGCATGTTATGGATGGCTTGGAACAATTAACCAAGTAAGATTGATGCACACAGCTGAGCATTGACAACTCATTTGGTCAACTGAAAACACTGTTGCAAAGTACATCCAAAAATAAAAGTGTCTATAAACTCTGGTCTTGAAGTGTTACATTACCAAGAAATGCTATGGTGAGTAAGGACTACTCTCTTTATACACTACATTGTTCAACACTAAACTCCACTAACCTCAAAATAGAGTAGAATGGGTTAAAGTTTTTCGTATGGATTTTACCTGAAATATGATACCAACTTTTCTCGACAAGGAGTAGTCTGCCAACAATTTCTCAGAAGCGATGATTCATATAAAATTGGATACTTTAGATATGTTTCAAAAAAGAGCCTTAGGAAACAATTTTCTTTTTCTCCTATAGGTGTCAAAGTTATAATTTTATCACTCTCTATTTTGGTTAAGGGTCATTTTAGGACCCATGTTCATAGGACCTCTAGAAATATTGACATATATTTTTAAAATGCCCTACAATATGCACTTGTCATAATTTGTCATCAGACAGGTTACCAACTTTGGCAAGAATGGCTGATAAAAATATATGCATTGTGGCAGCTCACACTGTTTTGAGAGACACATCCTGCAATATTGCAGTGTATTTTTTACCTTTAAAATGTTCAGCAATCTGACAGCAGTGTAAAGGTATATAGTGTGTACCTAAAATATTACCAGTTGCTATGCTGGCAATGTTACTGGCTGTTCTGTTGAAGCTACATTATACAGTACAGTATTGCACATTTAGATATGCCTTTAGGTTTTGTAATGCAGGATTCATACTAGCCATAACTTAGTACTCAAGGGACAAGATGTGCTACATGCATAAGATAGGAGCAATAGGGAGCATGTTTATATATGTACTTTATTGGTTCTCCTGCTAATTTCAAGATATGTTTTGCATGAATCCAGCATAATGCAACACACCTGCCTAGGAAGTGAAAGTATTTATTTCAGTTTGCAGTGACCTGTGAGAATCCTAATTCTCTTTTGTGCAACAGACACATCATTGCATCCTTATCTGGGCCTGCCTGCAGTCGTCCCTGATTAATCACAGTTTTGGCCAGGTCACTGTGTACCCAGGGTGCTGGTAGCCTGGCATCTGCTGATTCCAGCACTCATTAAGAGTGATATTAAGAGCACACTTGGCTTGGTTCTTATCTGGTACTCTATTGTGCCCAGGTACCCACAATTTATGGCATCACCAACTTTTGCTGCTGGTAATAGCAAAACAATATTTAAAACAACAATTCAAGCAATTTCCTGGATGGTTTACCTTTTTTTTTTGGAAGAGTGGCTTTATCTGAAAGAAAAAAAATTCAATAAGCATGCCACTATTGGAGCTCTGCCATATGTGCACATGTGCCGTGGGGTGGGTCACTCTTGAGCTATTTGTAAGGGTCTCTTTAAAACATGGTTACAGGGGAATTTTTTCTTGCCTGACATCTCTGGAGCAAAGTTTGGAGCATCTTAAGTTGCCCTAATTGCCCCTGAATAGCTGCAAGCTAGGTTTTTGAATAGCAATTCAGCTTCAAAGATAGTTTTTGATGGCTGAGAAATAAACTTGTTTTAAAAAAAATTGTCTAAATGTAGTTATTGATCACAATACTTTTCTCTAAGTTTAATGGTCAATGAAGTATTCTCATGTTTAAATGTTGAAAGAGCTATCTGGTATCTGCCAATAGAATACAGTAAGAAAAAACAAATTCAATTTTGATAATGTTTTTGTTTCTTTGTATATTTGAAAATATAAGACATTCGGAAACGCATTTTTGTTACATCATGTGCTATCACGCAAACTTACAAATGCGTTACACGAGCATTATCTGCAATCCATACTTATGCATACAAGTCTATGTATTTAGAAACATACTGTTGTCACCTCACGCACGCATCTCGTTCTTGTGTGCTGTCGTGATATCAAATTTAGTGAGTGCTCTTGGTTCTCTAGTAAGATGGCAGAAAAACTCATTGAATTGGTGCAGCAACATGAAGTGTTGTACAACCACTCATTATTGGAATACAGAGACCAGAATGTTCGACAACAAGCATGGGAGGAAATTGGGAGACATCTAAGAATAACAGGTAAATACAATGATTTTATTATTTCATTAGTCACTGATGCGACAATTATACAGGGTGGAGGTAAAGTAAGTGAGTGCCTAACAAACATGGCTACATGAAACTAGTATACACAGGCTAGAAAAACTACTTTTGAATTATTTATTCAGTTTAGACCTAACCAGATCAATTTCCCATAATACACTAACACTAACTCTTCACTTGCTTTGCAAAAAATTACCTAATGTTTCATTTACTTATAGCAGATAACGCCAAGTCAACATGGGACAGACTTAGACGATGTTTCTGCAATGCACGAAGTAGACGCATGTCTGCAAAAAGCTTGCATACGAATAGAAAGACTCCACCGTGGAAATTTGAGCATCACATGGAATTTTTGCTTCCTTATGTGGAGGTTCGAAGGTAAGTTGATTCTTAAAATTGACCTTGTTCTTTCGAGTGGGGCCTCCAGCCATTCAATGAGATAGAGTTTCTAGATGATATAACAAAACCTTGTTATGTCATGCATTCCTTCAAACTCAGTCCAAAGTTATGGATTTGTTTTGAATCTTGAAAAAAAAACGGCTTACTATAAACTTTTAATTTTTCATCTGTCGCCCATATCGACTTTTCAAGACTAACAGATACATCATGTGCTCACATATCATATCTCAATCTTTTAACATCATTAGTAGTAGTAATATTTGCAATATTTCTACCAAAAACTTATAGCATGTATACTTGGACTGAGATTAGAGGCGTGTAACATGTAACAAGTAATGATTATGTTATCTACATAGGTTTGACAAACGCAAACTTCCTTACTGAGATAAGCATTGACTCTTGTACTAATTGGGATACTTTATGACACTGTTTCCAGGTCACGCGGCAATTCGCATCTTCAAAATTCTCAAATTGAATATGAAATTCGCGTTCCACAGGCATTGATAAACAATGACGACTACGACTTAGGCAAACAGGAAGACCAAGAATCTGTTGCGGACGATGACGGTGCAGCTTTTGAAAGAGATGACGAACAGTTTACAGAGACACAAACATCTTTGCAAGATAGGGTTTCGAACGTCGAAAATGCAAACAATAGTTACTACAGAAAAAGGAAAATAGAAGAAACAGAAACAGCGCAGAATAAGCATACATCGTTTGAAAATATGGACGAAACCGATTTATTCTTTCTAGGTTTATCTAGAATGGTAAAAAATTGCCGAAAGTGGAACAAGCTTCTGTTAAGCTGGCAGTAAGCAACGCAGTACTTCAAGCTGAATTGCGAAACGCACAAGCCGAACAGACTCCCGCAGATCATTTGAAGACATAACATTGATCTCAAAAGAGTTGTAAAATCCCCATTGCATGCACTACAGTCACCAAATGAACATTCTCGGGACTCATTAGAAGCACCGATTTTGCTCATTTGATTTCTTACCAACGTCGCACGACTTCAGTGCAGTTGAATATGGGTAACATGTTTAAACACTACGCAATTCGATACGTCCGAGAAACAGGCGATCTGCGCCACCGACCGACCTACGCGCTGCCATGATAAATCCGCTTATCTCTGGCCAGCCGCGATACAACTGCTCAGCTACAGCTTTTCCGAAAACATCCGCTCGGCTGCGGTCTCAACAGGAGAAACAGCTCACGTGAGACGGTTATTGAAGTTTAGCTCTGCGAGACAAATCGGTGTTACCGTGCAATCAAGTGATATAGATACAGTTGTATTCATAAAAAAGCGTACACGAATTACAATGAGAGGAAACCTTAACCTTATTTGCGTAAAACCGGCTTATCGCATGTTAAAGGTTATTAAAAATGCAAAGCATGGGCGTCGGGCATTAGTTCAATACAGTAACAAAAATGTATTTCTTTATTTTACATCTTAACAGTTTTATAAAAATTACAATAGAAACAAAAAACGATTAACAAGAATAAATAAAATCTAATATTTGGTCATATATCCCTGTTTTTCTATTACTTGAGCCAGTCTATTCGGAATTGACTGAATTATATTTGGATCAAGATCTTCCCAGCACGCATGTATTATTTCCCATAAATCTTCTGAATTTTGTGGCCTAAAATTTCGATTATATATTTTTTTTACGATTATACCCCAAATATTTTCGATTGGATTGATATCGGGACTATAAGCCACCCAAGGCAGCACTTCCACATTATGGGTTTGAAACCAGTGGGTTACAGCATTGGCTGTATGAACTGGACAATTATCTTGTTGAAATATGAACGTATTATTGGGATATATTTGCTCAGCACTTGGTAACAATATGTTTTCTAAAATGTTAATGTAATTTCCGGCATTAAATCTTCCCTCTATTCGCCAGCAAACACCAGGTCCATGAACACTTATCCAGCCCCATACATTTACAGAGAAACGCCCAGGTCTAGAATTGAGGGGGTTAGTATATCGCTCTTCAAACCTGGTATTGTTTGGACGGTAAACACGAATTTGGCCGTTATAAGTCGACTGGAACGTCTTTTCATCAGTAAAAATGACCCTGTTCCAAAATTGAGGATTGCGGTATATACAATTTAAAGCAAAAATAATCCTTGATTGTCGCCGTTCTTCGTTAAGAAACATTTTTTTCGCAGCAGGGTGACATTTTAGTTCAGATTTCATTACTCTCCTGCTGGCGGTAGGTTGGGAGGCAGGAAATGCTGTATCAATAACAGCATCCCTTACAGTTGCAAATGGATTATTTCTTGAATATCCCAAAAAAGCAGCATCCTGTTCAGGGTTGGTAAGTTTGGGACGACCTGAACCAATTTTCCTCTTTAGGGAATCTTCCTGTTCCCAGCGTTGCTTAATTTTCAATATGGTTTTTTATTTCTATTATACAACTGCGCTACAGCACGGATTGACCATCCTTCTTCGATTCTTGATACAATTTGAGCCTTTTCAACTTCAGACAACTGACAAGGCATTTTTATTTTCTTCTGTCAAAGTTTATCAAACGTTACCACCACGCATTTTCGAAATGAATTACACCGACGTCAATGCTTTGCATTTTTGACAATCTACGACGTGTGATAACCTCCAATAAACAATCATTTAGACAAGCCGGTTTTACGCAAATAAGGTTAAGGTTTCCTCTCATTCTAATTCGTGTACGCTTTTTTTATGAATAGAACTGTACCTGTGTGTTGCTTGAAGCTTTGTCTTTCAAATTTTATCTATTCTCAATGCAACTGTTTTCGAATGAATTGTAAATTGATGTGCTTTCCTGATCCTGACGTCGCGCCAGACCAATTCATGGCTTGCGCTGTTTCCTTCTATAAACTCACGGCAGAGCGGATGCATTCGGGCAAGCTGTAACTGAGCGGTTGTATCGAGGCTGGCCAGCATGTAGCTGAGCGAGTTTGAGTGCACTCGTTGCCGCTGATCGTCTGTTAAGCGGTTGTATCGAACTGTCCCAGAAGAAGTATGCCGCTGAGGATACAAAGTGAAATTTGTGTTTATTGAAAAATTTCATAAATGTCATTTAATAGTATAGTATTGGCTTTACAACTGTATAGCTGTGCTGAGAACTTTTTAAAATAAATATGTTCACACAGAAAAGTGTTGGGCACTTCTTTGAGCGAACAGCCAATCGTTTTTCGGTTCTTCTCTGAAGTAAGTGTTTTTCTTCCGGATGTAGTTATTTTGAATGCAATATAATGACTAAGTACTTCGCGATGGATTGGATATCACGTGACATGACAATAATGTGTTTTCGGCTCAACATTCATTAGCCAATATCGCTGAGAAGGAAAATTTAATACTTCTTATTGAACAGAGAAAAAGGAAATATTAGGTATGTTCAAAATTTAACAGACAACATGTAATTACTTTTTGCCCTGCATTAGTAAATTGACATTCAGTTGGGATGCTTGAGAAATTTGTTTATTCCAGTAGTGGAGCCCAACATATAAACAGGGGTGGGGGCGGGAGGGGGGTTGTACCGTATTGTAAATTGAATAAAAATTTACATTGTAAAAGCTATCTCTTTGCCTAATTTCCGGCTACTAAATCTACTCTTAGTTTGAGTCTACTCGAAACGCTGCTGATTTTTAAATGATTTTCGAGATTTCGTGATTAATGTGTATATTTTCGCTTTTATACATATCCGCCTTTAGCTCCCTTAATCTGGCACTGCTGTGAAATCAGTTCTTAACTGACATCTCCTTCCTACCAAATTTCAAGTTCATATGTCAAACATTTAACCCCCTCCTACCGCATTTTGAGGATATCATTTGATATTCTTTGTTAATCATAATTGTTTCAACGATAAAGAGGAAGACAACACATACTCTTAAGCTGAATTAATTTGAAATATTTTTATATTCCTAAAAAAAATTTGAAAAGTGAATTCCCACCTCCTTAACGGTGGAATTAACAAAATTTCTTTGTAGTTACTCATTCACACTCTGTGTTAAAGAACCGAGAAAATGAAACCGACATCGGTATACCAAGCTTTAAAAACTAATAGTTTCCCCATAGTAGTTTTTACCCCTTATTTCAACCCCTTCAAGTCTAATTTTCACAACACCATTGTAGTTAAGCCATAAAAAAAATAGATAACCCAACGTTTACTTTTTCTATAGCTTTCTTCTATACTATCGGTTGGTATTAAATTTGCTTTTTAATCTTATTGCAACTTTAAATTAAAAGTCATTTTTCTATTTTTAATTATTCATAGTCTCGCCAGTAATTTTTTAGTCAACCCACTCGCGATATTTTTTTAATACACTAAATTTAATATAAAATACCATTAAATGGATGAAGGCCGCTTTTAATTCGGAACTTAGACTACCAATAAAACTGTATGATCGTCATTTTTATCATTACATTCGACGATGATAATGCAAAAAATTCGTGGCTTCCAAAGTGTTCAACTCTTTTAATTATTTCAGCAGCCTGCCAGCAAATATGTCGATCGAACTAAAAGTAAAAATTGAAAAGGAAGATGATCTTCAAATCGAAACTAATACAGCGGACAACTATCTAGATGGAGGTGAAATGAAGAATATCAGAGTAAAAAGGGATACCTTGGATATTGAAAACAAGAATCCACTGTTAGATAGGTATTTATCAATTATTTGTGTATTGTTGCTTTAAAAAAATTTTTTTTGCGTGAGAAAAACTTCATGTTGACAATTCCTTTTTTCAAAGTTGATAAGTTTTTAGAATAAAATGGGACCAGGATGAAAAATATGATTTGCTAACAGATCGAGAAAAGGGTATTGACAAGATTAAATTATTTGTGTTTTGTTGCTTTATAAAAAATATTTTTTTGCGTGAGAAAAACTTCATGTTGACAATTCCTTTTTTTCAAAGTTGAAAAATTTTTTAGCATAAAATGGGACCAGGATGAAAAATATGATTTGCTAACAGATCGAGAAAAGAGTATTGACGAGATTAAGTCAGAAACATATATGGAAGTAGATAAAATTGAACATATGGACAGTCCAGATATTATTCAGCTCTCAGACCTCAAAAAGGCAGGCGATACAAGTTTAGATATGTCATGTGATACTACGTTGAATAGGTGAGAATATATTCGATTCAAATCTGTCTTGTATTATTCGTAAAAATTTTGGTAGTCGTTTCTTATGTTTTTAGAAAACATTTGTTTTGCTTAATGTTATCTGGTTGAAACGCTGTCAAGCAGTTTTTCTCTAAACAAGTTCATTACATTGATGAAACTCGTTATTTTTTAAATGTGATAAGTTATAGATCTTGACACGCCGAACAGTTTGAGTTACAGGTTCTTAATGCTTATCCAACTTTTTTCAGTTATGTGAAAAAGGAAATCTGGGAACAACACCAGCAGGCTGTGCACGAAATGGATCATAGTGATTCTTCCAGTTACTATCATACAGACTTTAATCCTTACGATTATCAATCCCATTTTCTTGCGGATGTTTCTAACGAGGAACATTATCAAACCACCTCAGAAGCTAATTCAGATACAGATATGTTTCAGTCTAAGACAATCGGTAGCGATAATATCCTGACATGTATACACTGTAATGCGACCTACAGAAGTAAACAAACGAAAGATGATCATATAGTTAGAAAACATCCTGAATTTATTTCAACAATTTCAAGCAAAATCCATGAATGTGCCAGCTGTCATTACCGTACAACCATCAAAGCTCTTTATATTAAACACGTGTTAAAACACCCTGAGATGGCTAGTAGTCTTAAGTTTAGCACTTGCATACATTGTAATGCTTCTTTTAAAAGTAAAATAGAGTTAGATGAACATACATTAAAAAAACACCCTGCGAACATTGCATCTGTTACTAGCAAAGTGCATGAGTGTACCGATTGTACCTATAAAACCACTATGAAAAAACAATTAGATACACATATGTTGAAACATTTAAATTCAGTAGATAGGACTTACGTGTGTATATATTGTGAAATGATGTTCAAAAGTAAACAGATGCTTGATGATCACATAATCAAAAAGCATCCAGATTTTGTTTCTTCAATTACGAGTAAAATTCATGAATGCAACATTTGCGATTTCAAAACTACTATGAAAAGCCAGCTTGTTAGACATATGTTGAAACATCCCGGATCAGTTGAAAGTCATACATTTAATTATTGTAAACATTGTGGTGTAAGATTTAAAAGTAAAACAGGTTTAGATGAGCATACCATCAGAAAACATCCAGAATTTGTTTCAACTATAACTAGCAAAATTCACGAGTGTACAGATTGTTCGTTCAAAACTACGATATCAAGTCAAATTGTTAAACATATATCTAAACATCCTGAGATGGCAGATAGCTATAGAGGTAACTCTTGTCTACACTGTGGTGCGATATTTGATGGTAAACAGGTATTAGATGATCACATAATAAAAAAACACCCAGAGTTTGCTTCTTCCGTTTCTCGTCAAATCTATGATTGCCCAAAATGCTCTTATAAAAGTACTATCAGAAGCCGTTTAGACAAACACTTCTTGCAACATCCGGACCTTGAAACTAGCTTCAAACTGAGTACATGCGAACATTGTAACTCGACGTTTAAAAGCAAAACTTCGTTGGACGAACACACGCTTAGAAAGCACCCTTATTTCATCGAGTCAATTTCCAGTAAGATACACGAATGTTCGAAATGTTCGTATAAAACTACTATGACTAGTCAGTTGTCTAGGCATATGTTGAAGCATCCAGACGCTGTTGATGGTTTCAAAAACACGTGCATGCACTGTAATACTACATTCGAGAGTAAACAAACTTTAGACGATCATATACTCAAAAAACACCCGAAATTCATTGAATCTATTTCTGGTAAAATATACGAATGTACCAACTGTCCATACAAAACTACCATAAAGAGCCGCTTGGCTAAACACATGTTGAATCATCCGGAGGCTGCTGGTAGCTATAAGCTGAGCCCGTGTCCACATTGTAACACAACATTCAAAAGTAAACAAACGGTAGATGATCATGTACTGAAAAAACACCCCGAATATATTACTTCAATATCAAGTAAAATCCACGAGTGTCCAAATTGTGAATACAAAAGTACCAGCAAGTCTCTTTTTGACAAGCATTTATTGAAACATCCCGAAATCATTGGTAGTTATAATGCGTCATGTCAACATTGCGACGCCAGGTACCATAGTAAAACCGCGCTGGACGATCACGTGATTAAAAAACATCCGGAATTTGATGCGACCGTTACTAGTAAAATACACGTATGTCCGACGTGTGGATATAGAACTTGCGCTAAAAGTAACTTGGATAAGCATATATCGTCAAAACATCGATAGAGAGCCATTCCATTTGAACCTAGAACGTCAATTTTATTTTATATAAAGTACTTATGGAAATCAGTTGGTCATATCTTGTAACAATTGAGATGGCAAAGTGAGCTGAAACATTTAGAAGAGAAATACGAGATCCGTGGAAATGTCCAAGAATAAAATTCTAGTGATGTCTCTTCGGTGCAATTGTAGTGTCCTGTTCCTGCTGGTCAGGGAATACTGAGCAGAGTATCAGACAAAAATCTGTATATTTCGCATGCCATCTAGTCAGTTTAAAAGTTATAGTGAAACCTGATAGCACACCGTTGCTTGAAATTGATGTCACTCATTTTAAGAACTCAATAGAAAAAACTGTTCCACAAAAAAAATGCTACGGACAACCAAATAACTTGAGCGAGTTCAAACTTGACCTGAAGGCGGATCACATGTGTGCCTCTGTCTCCCCTCCAAGCCAGGCGCCTCCATTGAGGAGATCGAAAGCTACGTTCTCAGTCTCGTCATTTATTTTACAAACCTCGTATAATAAATAATTTTTCGCGCACGGTAAAACTACTACCTATTAACTATATCAACTGTCATCAAAATATCTTCTTTGCAAACTTTATAGGTATGTACTCACAAAGCAATTCTAAATTGCCCGAATAGCTACATGATGTTTTACGTGTAGTCATTTAAATATATAATAATTGGGGTACTTTGATGAATATTTTTCCAATTTAGAGAACATCAACTTGGATTTCTGAGCGATAGTGATTAGCTGGTTAAGTACATATTTTTGTCATATTGACTAATGCTAATATTTTCAATTAAATTGTTTCTAAGTGTTTGGGGGAACGGCAAGATATTCGAGGATACTCAAGGGGTATAATAGTACGGGTTTAATGTTTTCCCTGGCTACTCAGCGGTGTTGTTGGATCTGACCTTTTGCCAGCAGGAGCTCCAATTTTTCTTAGTCGATTCATTGTCTACCTTCAAAACTGCGCTTTGCCATGACGTTGAGGGTCAAATCAATGTTAATATAATTTTCTTTACTTTTGACCGTGGAGATGGTAGAACGGAAAGTATCACGTTTAACTGTGACGGTGGATAAAAATTATTTTAATATTGTCAAAGTCTCCGTAAAAAACATCGTCTCAAAGAAATGAAACGATGTTCTGAAAGTAAAACAAAAATGAAGATCCATATACAACAGCGACTCCAAGACTTTTTTTATGATATGGGGTACCGTGGAGCTATACGGGGATACATGGCAAAGCGGGGACGCCACACGGACTCTAGCGAGGGAACTCGTGTGCATACAGCATGCACACATTCTGGCCCCGCCTACGAGATCCGCCGGATCGTACCTCCGCGTTCGACAGTCAGAGGCCGTCTACCACGTAGCGGCTACCACTATGCAACCGCCGCTGCCTGGCTGTTAACTGTTGACCTTGAAACTGACCTTGGCTATGAGCTTACAATTATTTGGTGCCACAATGATTGAATTCCGGACATGGATAGAGCGGAACATTTTACTTAGCCTTGCTCAGAGACTTTTAAGGTCAAGATAATTTTCGCCCAAGCTCATATCTAAACATTAATTTTTCCGTTCTAGCCGTTTTCGGGGTCAAAAGGTCGCATTTAAAAAAAAATTCGAGCTTGAATATCAAATCAAGGTTACTATTGAATTGCCAGGGAAGATAGTGAACCTGAACTATTTGATTTCTATCATACCTCTTGAATATTTCCAACTCTCTTGCCATTCCTGAACTTTTAGATTACCCCGTGCGAAATATGTGTAACCGCTCTTTGGCGTGTAAGATCGACTGGCGATAGGATTAGCGCTCCTGAGTCATTGCATGTGTAGAACACTGCTTTTTCAAATGTCTTTGTATCGAGTTTTATAATGTGTAAAATTAGATATATTATTTGTTAGTATACCAGTTGTTTTATTATCTTTCCTGGATGCAAGTACATAAACCCTATTTCACGAGTATCCATCACGTTTTGACGTCTACTGAGATGAACAACTGATCGGGCTAGTGACATATTTGTTTTAGTCTGTAACGTTGGCGATAATGAATCGGTGTAAATTCAGTAAATCTTGTGCTAGTAGCGTTTTTTATGTTTGCAAATAGACTCTTCTAAATAAAAGGGTTGTTGATAAGTTCACAATGAATTTGTAGCGTACAATGAACGAAAACAAAATACGGTTCTGTTTACCTGACGTTGACGGATCCGGGGTGCTCTTCCACTTAACCGTTGCCAGTAGTAAAAAACAGTCTAAACTAAAACTAACCAAAAGCACACATAGGGTCACCTAAATTTAGACACGTAAATTGCATGATCTTCCTGTCGGGAATCCTTGCTGTTCCTCTTGCAGAGTTATTCGTTCTTTTATTTTTGTCGCTATTATTCTTGTTGTCAATTTGAGTGTTGTATTTAACAGATTTATTGCTCGATAATTATTGGCCCAATAATATTGGGGTCTTTCTTATCTCCTTTCTTGAAGAACATCAGCATGATCGATCTCCTCCATTCATCTGGTATTCTGTTCGTGGTGATTATTTTTTGAATAAGGAGTTGCAGCTGTTGTACAAGGTAATCACCTCCATATTTTAAGAGTTAATTTGGTATTTGATCTTCTCCTGGTGACTTTCTATTTTTTAATTTATTTATTTCTTATTTCACATCTTCTTGGGAGATTTTGGTCTTTTCATCAGTTATTATATTTGGCGTTTCTGGTAAAGATTCTTCGTTTTCTTTTTTAGACATTTCTGTCAGGAAGGCCACCCATGTATCCTCTTTTATGTGTTCTATTTCAACTAGTTCTTTCATTTCGCTTCTTTGTTGTCTTATGAAGCGCCATACTTGTTTCTGTTGTCCGTAGAAATCCGTCTCTAGTCCTTTTGTGAATCTTTCCCAGTAATCTTAGAGATACACGCATCCGTAAGGCAATAACAGCTTGAGATGTGAAAAATGGGTACTCCGGGATTTAAACCTGCGTCTCCTCCATTTGTCCAAGTTATACCTGTACTTTCGTTTGCTGCCATATTAAGCCCGTACCTGTCTTTGACCCTTATCCTGAACAATTGATTCACGTATTTCGGCGTCCAAAAAATTGTCAGATATGAAATGAGATACCATGTCGTCATCTATGAGGATTTCTCACAGCTGAGTTTCTTCTATCAACAATAATTGTAAATGCACAAGTGGTTTTAGAGAAATAGAGGATTGGTAACCCAGGCGATGAAGGTTTCTGCTCATTGGCATGATCAGACCCGAATGGATGTGCATCCAAAACCTCAAAATGTAGGTATAATAATGTAGAAACCAAAACAAAAAAAAAATTGTATTTTTTATGAACAAAAACTATATTAAAAAAATGTCATAAACGTAAAATAAATAACCAATTACTTTTTGCTTTTATCAGACACAGTATACTTGTCATACGATTTAGTAGGATCATAAGGCTCCCACCTGCTAGCAGGAAATATATGTTTGTTCCTTTCGTACCAACTCCTGAGTAGTACTTTTCCAGCATGGGATTCCTCTTTTTCAACTGATGCGTCATTTACAAGTCTGACGTCATCATGGACATCGAACTGGAACAGAGGTCCACTCTTTCCTCTAGCCTGCAAAGATCACGAGCTTATTACGAGGGTGGCATCAAAAGAAAACACTATATTTTATCCATGTGTTTGGCGATACTTTATCGTTTTAACGTCCATTAGCTGAAGCTTTTTTGATGTAGAAGAGTTCCCATAACTTCGATTTTTTTCAGCCTTGCATAATTATTATTGTAATTAGTCTCTTTTATAATATTTTAACCAACTGTATTTATTATTAATCTAAATGTTAACTTCAATTTTATTAACTCTATATTTTGCTTTTATTGCCACTTTGTGTTTTATGTGTGTCTCATTTACGTATTGTTTGTCATTTTTACATACTCTTTTATGTTTTATACCCTTTAGCTCACTTGTGCAAACACATTTCTGTGTAATAGCACCAATTTTCATTGTAATTATCTCTTTTATAATTTTTAACCAACTCTATTTATTATTAATCTAATGCTGACTTTAATTTTATTGACTCTTTATTCAGCTTTTATTGCCAGTTTGTGTTTTATGTGTGTCTCATTTATGTATTGTTCGTTATTTTTACATACTCTTTTATGTTTTATACCCTTTAGCTGACTTGTGCAAACATATTTCTGTGCAACACCAATAAATTATTATTATTATTACATAAGAAAAGATGCCACAAGAACAACTTTGGGTTACCTAGCCGACACTTGAGTTAACCTGTGATTGAAAAACCATTACCTTTGTCACAATGAAGTCATAAAATGTGTAGTGATGTGGTAATATCAAATCTTCTTTGACATACATCAGCTGATCTGCCATCACAGTTTTCAGCTCAGAAAATTCCTTTCTAAGAAGTTCCAATACCTTCTGCAAAAAGTGATAGATGGAGTTTCCTGGAACAAATTAACATAATATTTTATACAAATATGCTAAAGGCAGCGTATAGAGTATAAGCCATACAGGATGTCCCAATATAGGACTTACTCAAAATGTTGATATTAGACAATTATGAAAATTTGGTGTTATAGTATAACTGTTGGAAGCAATTCGGCTAAGGTATTTTCCAAATGGTGCCATACAAAATTAACCTTACCCAACCAATATATCATACGATGAAGTTATTAAAAGGCTCGTTTCTATTTGAACTTAATCACTGTTTGAGCTTTTTTAGAAGCTAATTTTCATTCTTTTTTACCATAAGAAAACCATAAGAAAATCGTTATAAATCACAAGACAAAAAAAAAAAGGAAAATCTGTTATAATTTATTACCCTGCACTTGTCAATTCTTTCGTGAAATTTGAATCATTTAACAAACGGGTAGACTTAGGTATATGATGAGCTACACAGAATCTCGCGTAGAACTCAAAAGCTGAATAACGTACATATTTATAATAAGTCAATCCTCTGGTAAGTACAAGTGGTGAGGAGAAAAAGCCTGGCCAACTAGGCCACATTTAACCCTTTTTGCCCACCCCACAGTACCAACACTGTACTACTCCACCCCCAATCTACTGGTAACTTATATAATAAACCAGCTCCAGCAATGAGATGCACCTATTGTCGAATATATTGCACCCATGTGCGTGATACAGACAACACACAACATCCATGACTTGGAATTAACTTCCAAGGCGGAGAATAGAAGTCGCGAGCTAGACGCGCTAACCACCGAGCTACCGAGGCTCCGGATCAATCAGAAATGCACCATTTTTAAAAAATATTTTGCCGAATTGCTACCATCGGTTATGTTATAACCCCAACTGTTTAATGTCCATTTTTTAAGTCACCAATTGCTTGCAGGAAATCTCTGAAAATATAAGTTCAATAATACTTCTACTTCAAATATTATGCAATGTCAAGAACATATAAAATCTAAAAACGAACAATGTAACTCCTGAAACTTATTCTGTGGTTATCATGTTAATAGGATCTATTGTCTGCCCAACTAAAAAAATGGACTCAAGTATATTGTCTTAATATAATTAATATAAATCTATTTAATACCTTAATTATGCGAAAATTATTTTAACCATTTAAAAGTGTTGTATGATAACGCACTAAACTTTAAAGCAACCAGAGTTCCAATCGTCACAAAAAAAATGTGTAGCGATTTAATATGCCCAAAATTTATAAGAATTTAGAAAATCGACGCAAAACTAAAATTGTAAACTGTATATTTTTGTTCACTACTGCTCCGCCACTAATTCGATTTTCAAAAGTCACAAAATGTTTTCATATTTGGCACCACTATTCGAGTTATAGAGAGGCCAATTGTTTCCAGATAGTAATAGCTTTTCATGATGTAGGCGACATAATGTCCAAAAGATTTTTCATCATTATAAAACTTGCCTAAAAACTAAAAACAATATAATGAGTCACCTTTTTTTACTCTGACTGTTCTTCTGTGTCCGGAACCATCCCAGTAACTAAATGTAATATCAATTTCTTCCTCTTTCAGTTTCTGTTGTTGTTCTGCCCACTGTTGTCTCAACTCTTCCCTGAGTCTGTTTTCCTCTTCCTCTCTTTCCCTGTCAGGTAAAAAACTTGTGTCTACATTTGGATCCTTCTTAATTTTCTTCAAGTTAGACTTTTCAACTTCTTCAACCGGCCTTTTAAAGGTTGCTATCTCTTTCCTTTCATTTACGGAGTGGTCATCATCATCGCCATCTGCTTCATCTTCATCCAGTGAAAAAGATAGAGCTTGAATCTGCAATAAAACTAATAAACCTTTATTTCAATTGCATTGTCAAACATTCAGGGTGTTCATTTGAAAACTTCCCACCACAGATTTATCGAAAACCACTGATTAAAGGAAAAAACGCTGAGACACGTCAAAAATTTGTCAAGGTGGACTACTTTTTAACCAAAAACTACTTCACCCCCTTTCACTCGCTGACCCCCAGGGCCATCCCCTTAAAAATCTTAAATGACAAGGGGTATCGAGTAATAATTTGTTTATTTTGACGTTTGATTTTTGGTCGATTCGTTTTCAAGAAAATTGGAAAAATCTTTATCTTAATTTGTTCAGACAGAAAACAAAAATATCACTTTTTATTTCAATAACTGTCAAAATGTTTAGGTGAGCATTTGTACATTTATATACCAATTAAGCTTTTGTTTTACTTTTTCACAATTCAACACCCTTCTGTATATCCATAAAGAAATAAAACCAATTATATTTCATTCAAACATATAGAAAAAACAAACCTGTTTCTTCTGTTTATTTTTCTCAGCTTGCTTGGCTTCAAGTTGCCTCTGTTTCTCTCTTTCCTTTTCTGCTTGTTTCTGTGCTAGCTTCTTCTCTCTCTCTTTCACTATGTTTTCTTGTTTGGCTTTCATTTCATCTAGCGTAACTAGACCAATAGTTGAGGTCTGGAAAGCATACATATGCTTTAATGATTTCATTTTCATAGCAAAAGAGTCAAGCAAATACGAGATAAAAATTATTCAAACAAGGATGAACTTTTTGCCGCTTTAGAGCAAAAGTGGAGACAGATTGATGAATCTTATATCAAGAAACTTCTACAATCTATGCCAAGACGGTGCCAGGCGGTGATTGATAGTAACGGTTATGCTACAAAATATTAAGACAACATGGTTGGTTTTCTATAATTCAATGAACTTTGCTTCTTTTTTCTATAATTGTTTTGTCTATATATTATTGTCCTTCATAATTCCAATTTTGTTCAATTAATTTTTTATTGAAGGGAGTCTAATGAATTTATTTATGTATAAGTGAGTATTATGCTATAGCGAATTATGTATACAGGTTGGTGTATTAATAAAACAAGTTAAAAAAGAAATACAGCACAATATTAATTTGTCCATTACTGTATTTCTAAAAACAAAATTATAATAGATAATGCATATAATGCTGGATAAGGATATATTAAAAATAATGAAGTTCAAATTACAATTATTATCTGAATCATATAATATTAGTTGAATATTACTTTACTCAACCCAAAGTCAGCAAAAAAACTTGTAGGTCCTTTTAGTTTTGTCTGATGCCAACTGAAGATTTGCATGCGTGCATGAACTAAACAAGTTTATTAGAGATTTTCTAGTGAAAAACATATGCTTGACAAGGATCTCATTGTGACAAACTATAAAAATAATCTATTGCATGGTATTAAACTATGGAAAGTACAGTTTAGTTTAAATATTGACTTAAGCATTTCTAGTGTTGGTGTTACAATTATTACCTTCAGTTGTTGCTCCACAGCATCATAATGAGTAGCAAATTTGGTCTCAATGTTGTTTAGTTTGAGGTCTTCCTCAATTTTTTTCTTGCGTATTTCCATATCTTGCATTTCCTTCTCTCGCTTCTTCATGAGCTGCATGGCTCTGCCTGCCTCACTGGCTGCACCTTTATAATGCGCCATGGTTCTTTCCCAGTCTCAAAGCAGAAATGTTTCTATATAGTGATGCAGGGATAGAACTGTATAAGAGATCTTGAGGTCTTTAGAAATATAAATATCAATTCACTGTGCACACCACTACACAAATCAAACTACTTTACCCCTGAATATTACTTGTTTTTAAATATTAACAAATATTTTGGTTATATTGTTCTACCAAAACAAGAAGCCTCACAGTCACAGAATATAAACAAAACACGGAAGCAGAAGCTTAACCTAAATATTTGCCAGTATCAAGTGTCAGAAAAGTCAATCACAAATGTCAACCAGTCCTGTCGTGATGGGAGTTGCGAAGTATTCGTTTATCCATTCATTGAAATAATGAGGTGCGTTCAGCACAGGGGAAAATGTTCGGTTATGGTAATGTCAAAATTGGTAGTAAAAATTTTCTCTGCTTGCCCGTGAAATTGTGTAAGGGAGTGCAAAAGAATTAACAAATTGCAATGGTCAACCTAAAACATTTAAAATTTTCAAGAATGCCCTGCTTAAGGCTGATGGTTATTTATACAGGGTAAAACAAATTTGTATGACAGCTTGAGTTCAATGTGTTCAAGAGAGAAATGTATATAGACACATAAGTTAGAAAGTGATAGAAGCCGGCTGAAGAGCGAAGTTCATCACCACATTGTCCAACAACGGCAACGCAATGTATAACGGGGGGTAAACGGCCCGTAGCGGGAATTAGAGCCCAATGGGCGAAGTAATAATAAATAATGGCCAGGTGATGCAAGGAATCTTGTTATTAGTGTACCAGTCCACACCGCTTTTCTTCCGTATGCGGTAATAGCTGCCTATATGCAACTGAAAATGTATACGTTATTACTATCACGAATCAGCTATGATTTCCGACGATAATTCCTGCACTTTGAGGTTAGCAGCAGTCGCACTGGTGATAGATCGCAATAAAAATGTCGTCAAAGGTAGATATCTGTTTTGAACTGCTCGTGATCGTCCGCTCTTTTGTTGACATTTTGTTTCATAGAAGATCCAGTTTTTAGTTATTGCAGGTTAAGAAACCTCAATCTGGAAGTTAACTAATCCATTGTTCAAATACCATATTGTTATCTGTCTAGTTCGGTGCTTGTGAAGTCATTCTAGTTAACCTATAAAGGATCCTCTGGTCAAAGTTAACTGATCCCTGTTTCACGAGTATCCGTCACAGTAGAATGACAGCTGATTATCTAGTAATAGTTCAAAAGTTCCCATATCGACACAGAACACATAATTCTGACGGATCCATCAACTCCAGGTGGACAGACGGACAGAGCCGAATTTTGTAATGATCCTGATAAGCGCAGCTCTTAACAATCAAAGTCATGGTTGGTTGATTGATTGATTCGAAAGCCGCGCGTTTCATATGTGGGAAGTGGAAATTTAAATAATGAACTCGTACTCAACAATTTTTAATTATATACTAGCTTGTCTTTTCTTGATTACATTACGTTTCTTAGGCATACTTTCTAATATAGGTGCTTGCTCTGGTATCACAGGTTCAGATAGGATCTCCCAAAAGTTGTGAACATGAGGAATCCTTTCTGTAATGTTGGTACTCCAATGATGAATCCTACACCGCACATTCACCTTTTCTTGGTTATTTATCTGAAAATTATAATACCAGTTTATGCTATTTCATCTGAGCTGTTGTGGCCTGGCAACTGGGCCAACTTTAACAATTTTTGCCAATCTTGTATGTACCAACAGTACTCCACTGCAAGATTGAAAAATAATGCTAAAATAAAAATTCGGTATTCGATAATGTGCATAATAGTTATTTTCCTATATTGTCAGATGTATCAATATATTCTGCAGCCAGGTACACTTTTTAAGATTACAAAGCAAACCAATGTACCTGACAGAATATAGGGACAAACATTCATAAAATCAGTCTCAAATTGGCCATCTAATAACATAGCAAATGTAACAAAAAAAAACATTCTATACTTACTGTTACAGTTACAAAAAATTCTTTATCTTCCAATTCCATGTTTGGTCCAGATATTTGCTTTTCTGGTAATGTTATAGCATCTTCTGGTACTATGTATCCACATTTTCTGAAGCAAACTCTTATGTGCCATGGTTTGAGAGTCCATGGGTTTTCTTTATTCATAACAACTGACAAAAGCATTTGGGACAGTGTTTGGACAGTCTATAAAGCAATTCACAGTTTCTAGATAATGTACGTATTAAGGGCTTTGAGTAGGTGTTTATGGCCTGTAGCATAAAATTAGAGCCCAAGGTGCAAGGCTCCACACAAGGCACATAAATGCTTATTATGCTAGAAAAATTTATATATGACCAGCTGTCGAGATGAGTAAAAATAAAAAAAATTAAGTATTCAAGTGGACTTATGAAATTAATTAATTAACCATGCTATATCACCAGCTGATGAATATGGATGGTTCTAATGATTGATCAGCATACGATAATTTATAGATAGCAGGGGACTGAAGTTGCTTAACTGTTATAGGCCCCTTGGGCATAAAAATATCCACATTCTGAAATGTTGCATGCAAGAGCACTCTCTGACTGAGACATTATAGCGATGTCTCAAATCATGCACCTATGGCTACTTCTGGAATAAAAACTCGCCAGATAGAGTAGCCACATCATTTTCTTGTCATGCAGTAAAAATATGACAACCTTATGTTCACGCAAATAGCCAAGACTAGACCTATTCTGCGTTGAGGTTGAGATGGAAAATAAACATGTCCATTTCAGTCAACCTAATTTTCATCATTTCTGTAATTAGAAGGGATCACAATAATTTCGACAGTGACAAATAATGAAGAAAAACAAAAAGAAACTTTGGGTACATCCCTTCATCTCGGATTGACACCAAAGTCGATTTTGTTAAAGAAAAAAGATGCAGATACCATGTCACAAAAGTCCCTCTTTGCAGATGTCTCACTCCCACATGTTGCTAGCATGGGTAGACAAGGGTGTGGCTGAGCGTTCAAATTGACAATGCCACCAGATCAGGGAGCTTCCATATTCTTCAATAGAATAGTGTGGCTATGGATTATGGCAACATATTCATGGAGGCCTGATGAGAAAGTGCTCTAATATCTGGTAAACCAATTCATAAATGGAACATATGAAATTTATGCTGCAAGTGTCTCACAGCTGGTCACCAAATAGAATCAATGATGCTGAAGTATAGTGTATACCATACTTACATAAAAGGCATTTTTGGAGCTATATCTAATTTTCTCACTATCATTGGTCAAGTTTGAGTATTTCTCGACATTTTCAGGGCTGGCGTACACTGCTAATCCTGGTAGCAGCAGCTTATTGTATGCGAACGTGGGGCGCACAGACACTTTGTCGCCAGCATTTCCAAGACCTTCAACATAGGATGTGAGAATAACATCAATGTCTGCTTGTTTCTCCACATCAGTATCTTTGACTAATTCGTAAATATAATGTCTAGAGCGGAGTGTTTTTGGTTTTCGTCCTTGTTTATGAAGTAAGGGTGGTGTTTTACGACGGAGGATGAATGTTGTCTGAAAAATGAAAATAATTTGAATGATTATAGATAAGATGTACCGCAGAAAATGTTATAACGTACCCTTAGTTGCTGATTCAAAATGTCAGTGGTTTGCAAAACGGGCGCTTTAGATACAGCAGTAAATAGGGATTTCCACATTTTGAGCAAGTTTAGATTTTTTCTAATCTTCTAACCTAAAGTCGTTAAAGTTAGGTTAGAAGTGTTAGAACAGCACAAATGGAGACTGTGCGCCATCTACTGCATAATATCGGAACATGTCTTTAGATAGTAGGTTACAGTAATATAATATAAAACCTCCTAATAATCATAAATTTTGTCTTTTTCTGTGTAGATGGCGCCAAAAGCGTATATTAGTCCAGTCAACAAAATATTCTATTACATGCCACACAGGGTGTTATTACTTGGAATCCCTTGCGGATTTAGGAATTTGTCATAGGGGGACGGCGAGGGGACAGCGGTGGTCACAACATAGATACATGTTCAGGAAGATGTTCGTCTCTGTGGGGAGGAGTTATCGGCGATTGAGAATTGAAAGCTGGGTTGAGGGGGTTGGCGCCTGCATGCTTCAGTACCTATTTGTCCCACGATTCTAGTGTAGTCTAACAAAATAATTTTTACACCAAGACACAGTAGTATATTTTATTAGAAAGAGAATTGCAGACACGGGCGTCTAGGGCGCCTCCCTCTAAATCAAGCCCTTGATTGGAACAAGATCACAAAATATTTATTTTTGTCCTGATATATTTTAAAAAAATCGCGTTGTTTTGAGAATACACAACAAATGATTTTTTTAATAATATCCAGGTATGCAAAAATTGCAGTAAAGGTCAATCAGTGCGTCTCTTTTTAGTGCATGGGCTAGTTTCAGAGCGTACATGCATCCTAAGTGGCGTATATATGCGTAAGACGAAGCCAACACCCCCTTCCCTCCCAGAACGAATCAAGAATCTTTAGGTGAACTGTTATGCTTTGTCGTTATAAAATATGGGAGGAGTCCAAATATGTTGGAACCATAGGATCTATATAGGTTATTTATTAATAAAAAAAAAATTGTAACGGGTTTGACATTTTTTGAGTTAGATACTCCGCTTCAGAAATACTGAAAAAATCACGAAGGTATTTTTCCGCTGTACAAGATGCAAATATAGAATTTTACGTACTTTTCTCTGAAAAGCACACATACACTATATTCAAGCTCTTTAGGGGGTAAATAACGTTTTTTGTAATATCTTTATAATGTGAAAATGAAAAACTGAATGTTTTACGAGTACAGGCAAAGTGACACTTTTTAAATATATTTTGTGGCCCATCACTTTGTAATCAAAAGAAACAGAAAAAAAGATAAAGTGCATCAGTTGTGGCACTTCTACATAGAATTATGGAATTTTGAAATAATCCCGTCAATCAATTTCGAAGTTTGGCATTTCTGAAATTTTATAATTCGTCTCATAAAATAGCCCTGCTCGATTATATGAGTGTACTAGATGCAAAACTCTATATTTGCAGAGTTTTGGTCGCTAAATATTTAACATTGGCAACAAGTATATGTTAGTACAATCAGCAAGACGCAAAACTGACTGATTATTAAAATAATTCCATATAAAATCTTGAATCAGAAGCAAAAATCTGCAGATGCATAACTTTGTACTTGCTTTCGACCAATCAGAACTCTCACTCTCATCACCTGACGCTGAACCTGTCAGAAAATTGTTAGGTTAGGACATAGCAATTGTGTGGTCAATAGAACTTGGACGTTAAAGTGCGAAGGACTATAATATGGATTTACCAATGAATATAACTCCCTGTGAGGTTGGAAAAGGAAGAAAACGTTTGGTACAGAGGGAAAATTGGAAAAAGGTCAAAATGCAGTTTTACGGTAAGCTTCTTCTTTTTCATATCAGGCCCTACGGCTAATACACTCTTTTTTCTAGGCACAAACCCAAAGGCCTACCAGACTTTCCTACGTGTCACCATGCAAAAAAAGTATATCGGTGCAGAGATTTGAAAATGCAAGATATACATCAATTCCACAAGAATTTATATTCAAGCACTGATAAAGTGAAGCAAGATATTTTCGTCTTAAAATTTTGTGAAGGGCAGAAGCCAAAGAGACCAAGTACAAATCTGCATGGTATATCTTTGAAATATGTATTTCGTTCCTACCGTGGGTGGCAGCAGTTTGAGAGTTTGTAAAAAAGCTTTTTTGTAAATTACTCATTTGAGCTCTGAAAGAATTGAGAGAATTTCGAGGAAGTTCATCGTTAATGGGGAAATGCCAAGAGAAAGAAGAGGAGGAAATAGAGTGGGAGATAAATTTGAAGAAATAAAGCGATCTATTGAACATTTTATAGAAAGTATGAAGTGTGCAGAAAGTCACTATGTTAGGGGACAATCGTTTAGGTTGTATCTGCCTTGTGATTTGAGTTTCTCCAAGATGTATGAGATGTACTGTAGGCAGCATCCTCAGTTTTCGGTGAAAATCTCCTATTTTCGCAGTTACATCAATCAAAAGTATAACTTATCATTTGGCACTCCTTTAAGTGACGCTTGCTCAACATGTCTCAAGGCAAAGGAATCTCTGAAGAAGCAAACTTCTGAAGCAGAGAAGCTAAAGGTTATGACTGAACAGAGAGTGCATATCCTGCGAGCAAGAGCCTTTTATTCTCTGCTAAAAACTGAATCAGATTATGTACAAATATTTTCTTTTGACTGCCAGAAGAATCTGTGCTTACCGAAACTGCCAGACCAACAGGCCTACTTTTCGCAGCAGGTAAATTTGTTTAACTTCACTATAGTAGCTGGAAACTCTAACACCTCACTCACCCCGATGAATGTAAAATCGTATGTGTGGCTGGAACACGAATATCCAAAAAATTCTAATGCCATTGCTTCTGCTGTCCACGAGACCCTTATCAAGTTTAACTTCGGAGCCCAAATAGAAGAAGTCCACCTATTTGCAGATGGGTGCGGTGGACAAAATAAAAATAGTACAATGATGGCAATGATAATGTATTGGCTAACAACTGAAGCCCCCAAAAACATTAAGGTAGTGCAAATAACATATCCTGTTGTTGGGCACTCATTTCTGCCATCTGACAGGATTTTTGGACTGGTCGAACGAGTCATAAAGAAGCGAGATATCATAATAAATAGAAAGCAGTATGAGGACATAATTGGACAACATTCAAAGGTATTAAAACTTGGAGCGGGTTGGGATGTTTTTGATTGGAAGACCAAAACTGATAATGTTTTGAAGAAACCCAGCCAATGGCATTTTAAGTGTAACGAATCAAAGAGATTTATATTTCGCAAGGAAAAGGACTATGTCACACTAAGAGGTGAAGTATTTTACAAGTCAGACATGGGCTGTGCAAAAACAATAGTGAGGAAGAGCAAAAAGGTTGCTCAACTGAAGCCAAGTATCCAAAGAATCGGAAGTACTTTAAGAGGTGATAAATCCTCCATAGATTCCCTACTCAAAAAGCATTATGGAGCCGATTGGAGAGACAATCCAGATTTAGATTTCTATAAAATAATAGATAAAGGTTTGAACCACAATACAGAAGACACTGTTATGGAAACTGGCCACATAGATGATTATGATCTGGAAGACGTCAGAGTTTGACTAGAAGTATACTTTTTTATGTACTAAACGTTTTTTTGTGAAATAATAATAAATGTCCCATACACTTTCGAGTTTTCATGAATAAAAAAGTCAGGCGCCATGAGATATTTGCATATTTCAGATGCAAATATCTGGTTCTTACTAGTATCATTTGCAAAACTCTGTAAGTGCAACCTTCAAGCGCTCTTTTTGAAGTATATATCAAACAATGAACAAAAAATTGAGCTCCTTACGACTAAGTAACTGATTCTCTATATTTAAAATTTAATTCCACTAAAATTTACCGATTGTAATAATAGCTAGCAGTTTTTCCTCATTATCTCAAAAGTACTTTTATATACCAAATACAGATTTTTGCATCCAACACACTCATATGTTTCATATACTCGTACTTATGTGACCCACGGCCATGTGTTCAGGCGCGCTTGCTTGACTGTCTGACTACACTTTATACCGTTAGTCTTATATCTCTATTTCTGAGCTCCACCATGTTTTGTCTATGTCCATCTTCCGACCACGAAATCGTCGGGAACAGGGCAAAAAGTCTGTTTCATTTTATGTGAGGGTCGGTAATAAGCCGTTGACCGGAACAAAGAAATCCTGGAGATAATTAGCAATTTGCCCCTGTGACATCACACTTTACATTCCGTTTTCCATTACCTCGCTACTTCTGCTCACAATAATTAGGAAGGCAATACATCATCTTGCCGGTCGCTGCATACAGACAGTAAGTAAATGACAAGCCCGGGGCGGCTAAGGTACAGGGTGAGGCAGAACTGTCTGCATCTACCAATGGTGAGCTTTCATAATCCCCATTTTTTCCAAGGGCTTGGCGTGGAACACTTTAGCGGATACCATACAAGTGTATATGAAGGCCGTCTGTCTGCATTGGCTCGTCAACCAACTAAAATATCGTTATATGCTAATACCGACAAATTATAGAAGCCGGTACAATTAGAACTTAAATTATACCACAAAACTTATTATTCACAAACCTACAGAATGTTAGTGTGACAGCAACTATCAAATCAAATTTGGCTCAGCATGGTCGCTCTTCAATAGCAAACATTCACGGTCCTCACCATTGTTAGTTGGCTCTGCCTTCACGCGTAAATCGACAAGGTTCCTTTCATTGTAGTAAAACTGCTCAACCTTAGTAAAGATAAGATACATTCACCGATCGGAAAGTGTGGTATCAGTGGATCTGCGTTTTGAAGCTTCACACAAAAAATGTAGTGCTACTCATTCGTATCATGGTGGAGTTACGCCAAGTAGGAGTATCTACAATCTACATGATCATGAAATGTTACCTACTGAGATTACAGCAGTGATAAGAATCCCAATAGACTAATCAGTAAATTAAGGTGGTGTTTACGCTTGGTCATAGTTTATATACGAGGGTGGTCCCAGAAGTACCCGGCCTGACTCAGAGATGGCGATAGTTGTTTGAAAAATATCATTGTATTAGAACGTATGCAATCTATAAAGCATATGTGTCAAGTTTGAAGACGCCACGTTGTTTAGTATTTGTTTGGCAGCCATCAATACTGAACGTTTTCAGTGAATTTGTGAAAATGGAGAAAATTGGTCATCGTTATGTGGTACAATACTTTTATTTCAAAGGCCTCACCCCAACCAATATAAAAGCTGAACTGGATTCTACTCTGGGTGAGTCTGCTCCTTCGTTTAGAACAGTAAAATATTGAGTAGCAGAGTTCAAACGAGGCCGTATGAGCTGCCAAGACGAGCATCGCAGTGTTCGACCAAATGAGGTGACGACTCCAGACATGATGAAGAAAATTCACAAAGCGTTATTGAATGATCGTCGATTGAAAGTTAGCAGACATAGTAGGCATTTCAAAAAGTGCGGTTCATCGCATATTATCTGAAAATTTGTGCATGTGACAGTTCAGCCAGTCTTAAAACATATGAGATAAAGACTATATAAATGCATTACGGAATAGTACCCTAAGCGTGAGCCACGCTGTACACGAGACCTGCAGGAAACGCATTTGGGAGATAGCATCAGCAAAGGTACGATAGAGAGGCTTTTAATTGCAGCTGCGACCCCGGCTTGAGGATTTTAGCACCTGATCGTAACTCCATAATACCCTGCTTCTCACTTCATACAGTCTTACTGTCGCTACTTCCGCTTTCATAATAAGTGATAAATTATGTTAATGGTAGATTTCAGACGACACGCTGTTATTATTGAGCCAGTTACTGGGACAAAACAATCACGAAAAATTTCTTTAAAAAGGAAACACTATATTTGCAAACGGGTTTGGTGAATTGTAATAAATATAACCAATAGTCTTTGAAGTGACAAACTAAAAATTGTTCATAAAAAAGGAGGAAAACCAGGCATGGTAAGTTAATAAAGTATGAATGATACAATCTCAAACATTCGCTTGGACTGCCTTTTGAAAAATTGTAGTCTACTATGCGATGCGCACTAGTATGGATTAATTTCCTTGAAGCTTTTTAGTAGATCTCAAATCCGTTTGAACGATAAAAGAAACAAAAAATCGAACAAAATCCAGACATCTTAAAAATGAGGTTTTTTACTACGTTTTAAAATATATATGTATATATACATATATAATAACAATCTTAAGAGGTGTTGAAACACATTTTGGATAACTTGGATAACTGGTAAGTTTACTAGAATCAAATATAGTTAGACACTCATCCAGATGCTATAAAAGCAAATAAAGTAGAATTCTGGAATGTTTTATACATATATCAACGCAACCGCGTAGGCACAAGTATAAATACCAGGGCATCGCGGTTGCTATGAGAAGATGCCTAAGGTTAGTAGAACTGGGAAATAATATATGTATTTTAATATATTGTTACTAATCTATTTACATCTAACAGACAAAGCATCCCTCTCTCCCCTTTTAACGTTTTGAAGACACTCACATGTATGCCTTTCTGTTATCCTTGTTTGACTGGGTTATTATGCGTGGGACATTGACAGGCCGACCAATCAAACTTAAGATTTGTTATTGGGGAGGGAGCAATTGAATTTTGGGGATCTTTTCGGGAGTGTGATTTTTTTGATTTTAAGTAAAAACTTTATGGTGATAGACAAAACGTGTCGATTAATGCAAATTAAGTGTTCGGGAGTGTTTATCACGTTCGGTCCGGCCGAATGAGAGGAAATTAGCGGTGATAATATACTAAGTGACATATAAATCCGAACACCCAGTTTAAATGGTTTTATTTTAATAAAAGTTGGTGAATGTATTTATCGTACTGTAAATAACAAGTGAAAAAAATTTCAGCCTTATCAGTTGGACATTCCGGTTTTTATACTGCTTTTTTTTTAATTCACTAACGCTCTAAAAATGAATATTTCAGCCGCAGTAAAGAATCAACGTTGGCGGATTTTGGTTCTTGACATCCTTTACGATCGGTTACGATGCCTAGAGTACGGAGACCTGTACGATTTCGTCAACTTAGTGAGTTTGATAGGGGCCGTATAGTGGGACTTCGGGAAGCTGGACTTTCTTTTCGGGCAATTGCAGTTAGAGTGCAAAGAGGTGTAGACACTGTGGTTAGGTGTTGTCAGGCATGGCTTCGAGAAGGCCGTACGCAAAGAGCAAGGGGCACTGGACGCCGCCGTAGAACAACAGACCGTGAAGATCGCCGCCTAAGATTATTGGCCTTAAGGGACCGTTTCTCCACTACCAGGTCCATTTCAATTGAATGGTTTGCAGAACACGGAAGACCTATTGGCATGCGAAGTGTTTACCGACGAATGAGAAGTTTTGGCTTGTTTTCATACCGGCCACTCTGGGACCTCCCTTTAACTCGAGAACACCGACGTAATCGCCTTGAGTGGTGCAGACAACGGTCACTCTGGGATCAGGAATGGAACAGTATTGTCTTTAGTGACGAGTCTCGATTTTGTTTAGGCATGCACGATGGTCGTACCAGGGTTAGAAGGCGACGTGGTGAAAGGAGAAATCCACAGTTTTTTGTTGAAAGACATGTTCATCACACTGTTGGAGTTATGGTTTGGGGTGCTATAGCTTATGGTTCCAGGTCACCTTTAATCTTCATCAGAGGTAACATGAACGCGCAGCGTTATATCCACGAAGTTCTAGAACCCCATCTTTTACCCTATCTTGACACCCTGGCAGATCCAACTTTCCAACAAGATAATGCCCGACCACATGTTGCAAGAGTCACAATAGACTTCTTTCAACATAATGATGTCACATTATTACCATGGCCACCAAGATCTCCCGACTTATCCCCAATTGAGCACGTGTGGGATATGATGGGTAGGAGATTGCTCAATTTGCAACGTCCTCCTCAGACTCTAGAAGCACTTCGAGAGGAGTTGGTGGTTGCCTGGAATGAGATACCACAGGAGGGCATTGACCACCTGATCAGAAGCATGCCTAGGCGCGTTGGAGAATGCGTAGCACATCAGGGTGCATCCACACATTATTAAAGGTCAAAGGGCTTTAAAGCAGTGCAATGATTTTGAAATTTTTATCATTTACTTATTATGCTTCATTAAGTACTTATACAAAATGTTATTAAAATAAAACCATTTAAACTGGGTGTTCGGATTTATATGTCACTTAGTATATCAAAAACTTCTCCGTGCATCTAGAGTAAACGAAGCACTGTGCAAGATGGCGTCACTATGTGAGCTGTTTATTTTTTTCCTTATAGTTCGCATTAGCATTATACAGTAAACAATGGTAACGTGGAATATAGAATGCAATACTCAATACCTATTGATATAATTCAAATTCAAGGGAATAACCAAATGAAAATGGTATTTACCATTTTGGATTGGAATTTTCCGATCCGTACAAGCGAGTGTGGTTATCAGTTTGGTTATAAGATCCGTGACGTCATGAATCAGTTGTTTTATGTGAGAGTTATCACCGCAAAATTGTGGTATTTACCCAACTCAGGAGTAGTTTTATATTTCTGGTTATTATTTGAAATGTGACAAGTTAGAATTTTGCTGGGTATTGGATATTTTTGTTGTAAGTACTTCAGCTTCATTT